AATTAATAAGATAAAACCTACTTGAAGCGGTCTGGTCAACGTACAACTTTCGTAGTTTACCATACACGGCGAGATCCAAGGTAAACACAAACTGACTAGTCAACCGGTCTTCGTATAACCATGTTGGTCCAAAAAAAAAGCCACAGTCTCTAACTCCAACGGATCAGTTTCAGTGATTCGAATCTCGTGAAGAAGAAGAACATAGAGATTGTACATTAGTCGATGGGTTTCATATGATAATCAAAAACGTAACTAGGTCCAAGATGATAAATGGGCCTTCTGGTTTAAGAAAAGCCTAACATAAGAAAATCAGAAAAATTGGGCGTGAGAAGAGAGAGTTGTAGAGTGATTTTATTTTTAAACGCCATAAAAATAGTAATCTTTCATGAATTTGATTACTTTATAATAATAGTTCTTATTACTTTTTAAAATATTTGTTATTCGTCGTTTTTTGGTTACCTAAGAAAGGCAAGCCTAAACCGGGTTTTGCTAAATTTGTAACGAATCTGTGTGCCGTGTGGGTAATGCAGATATTTAAAAAAGTCACTAGCTAGTGGTTCCTCGATGTACACAATTAGTAAGCAAGCATAGCTTAAGCAAAGCCGGCACTACGAAACAAAGAATGAGATATATATAATATGAGTGTGGTCCGAGATCAATCAATATCTCAGAGGAATATTCCAAGTCTGAGCACTAAAATGGTGCCGTTTAAAACACTCGCATGTGTTGTGGCCACAGGCTCACTACGACTGAGTCACTTTTTTTTTATATATACTTTAAAAGGTTGAGTTACTTTGTTTTCTCCGTCTGCCATTACACCATGTTATTAATTTCTATGCGTAGTAATTTCAAGGACCGTTATTTACTAGTTAAGTTGATTAAAAATGATGAAGATTATGCGTTCCCATTTTACTACATTGCACTATTCTTAGTAAATTGATAGTAATTGTCGTAGGTGGAGCTCGATCTTAGCGAAAACATGAAATTATAATCATATGTGGATCCATCGATCTTTTCTTCTCTTCATCCTCTCTTGTTCTTGTACAAGAATTTTAGATAGTCAATCCTCGTCAAAAAACATTTTGAGCGTTAAAGAGTCAAATGAAAAACTAGAGAGATCAATAAGATTTCGAGAGAAGAAGAGAGATGTGACCGTGAATCAAAGAGAAAAGAAGATGAAGAATAATGAAGAAAAAAAAAGAAAGATTAAAACGTGAAGAAGAGAAAGGGATGAAAGAGAGCACTAATAAATAAGATAATATGGACAAGTGTGTAAGAGGACATGATGTGGAAGTGTACGAGGGTAAAATCGTCTACTTTATGAGGACGAAACTAAACTTGCTAATAATTTTGTATGCGTTGTAATTTGCTTTATTTTAGGAAAAAAAAAACATTTGTCTCGAGTGAAAATACCATAAACTTGAGTATAAAAAATTTTCCAGTGCTTCTAAATCCTAATAGAAAACTTCACTCCCTGTTTTCATCGTGAGAGAAAACCATTATCGCCGTTGGTTTTTTTCTTTTGTTGAAAATACCATCCAATCAACAAAAACTGTTAATTTACAAAATGCCACATGTGTTTTACAGCTGAATTTTATTTCAGAAACAGATGTGTACATGTTAAAAAAAAATAGAGAAAATAAATAAATCGAAACAAATCAGAGAGACTAAGAAAGAGTAATCAAGTGAGAGAAACCAGCTTAAGCGTCGAAAGCGACGATTTCTCCATCCGTGAGAGCAAATCTGCAGAGCTATTTCTCCTTCATCATCTTCTTGGTCACGCGCCGTCTCTGGAACTCGGATCATCGTATCCAAAGTAAGCTTTCTCCTTTTTAGGCCAATAATATTGCTTTTCATTTACCCATGTGGTTGTGTGTCGATATTCGCTAGCTTTTCTCCTTCTGTAGTAGAAATTCTTAACATAAGGATTAGATCAGTCAGGAATTGAAATCGGAATTAATCGGAATCAGATCTAATTAAGCATCGTGATTCAAATGGCAAAGCAAAGTACTCTCTTTTGTGTATGTGTGTGATTTTGACTCTCAATTGATGGATTCAACAGTTGAAAGCATACGAAAAAATGGAAATGGATTCGGAGAATAAGTTGTTGAAGACGGGTTTGGTTATAGTGGCGACACTTGTTGTGGCCAAACTCATCTTCTCTTTCTTCACTTCCGATTCCAAGAAGAAGCGTCTTCCTCCGACTCTCAAAGCTTGGCCTCCATTGATCGGAAGCCTTCTCCGATTCATGAAAGGCCCGATCGTTATGCTTAGAGACGAATACCCTAAGCTTGGAAGTGTGTTCACAGTGAATCTTCTTCACAAAAAGATGACTTTTCTCATTGGTCCTGAAGTCTCTGCACATTTTTTCAAAGCTCCTGAATCTGATCTCAGCCAGCAGGAAGTGTACCAGTTCAATGTGCCTACTTTTGGCCCTGGAGTTGTCTTCGATGTCGACTATTCCGTTCGCCAGGAGCAGTTCCGGTTCTTCACCGAGGCACTCAGAGTCAACAAGTTGAAGGGTTATGTGGATATGATGGTTACTGAAGCTGAGGTAAACACAATTTGGCACCCAATATGTGATTTTTCTTTGTCTTGCTTTCACAAATGAGTTTATGTTCACTTTTCATGCTTCTCCTTCATTAATACCGTAATGAACGTACTGCTATGAAAGGAGGATCTGGTTGTCTCTTGAAATCTTCTACTGAGTGGGTGTTTGTTTGTATGCTTTTGTCTGTAGTTTCATTTTATAAATACTTGTCATTTGTTCTTGGCAGGATTTCTTCTCGAAATGGGGAGAGAGTGGGGAAGTTGATCTAAAGGTTGAGCTAGAGCGTCTCATCATCTTGACTGCAAGTAGATGTTTACTTGGTCGAGAAGTTCGTGACCAGCTTTTTGATGATGTCTCTGCTTTGTTCCATGACCTTGACAATGGAATGCTTCCCATCAGTGTTCTCTTCCCATACCTCCCACTTCCAGCTCACCGTCGTCGTGACCGTGCCCGAGAAAAGCTTTCTGAGATTTTCTCAAAGATCATAGGGTCAAGAAAACGATCTGGCAAATCAGAGAACGACATGTTACAGTGTTTCATCGAATCAAAGTACAAGGACGGAAGACAGACAACCGAATCTGAAGTCACCGGTTTGCTCATCGCTGCTCTATTTGCAGGACAACACACAAGCTCTATCACTTCCACATGGACCGGTGCTTATCTGATGAAATACAAAGAGTATTTCTCAGCTGCTTTGGATGAGCAGAAAAGCTTGATTAAGAAACATGGAGACAAGATCGACCACGATATCTTATCCGAGATGGATGTTCTCTTCCGCTGCATTAAGGAAGCATTGAGGCTTCACCCTCCATTGATCATGCTCATGAGAGCCTCCCACAGTGATTTCAATGTGACTGCTCGGGATGGAAAAACGTATGACATCCCAAAGGGTCACATCATTGCTACATCTCCTGCATTTGCCAACCGCTTGCCGCATGTCTTTAAAAACCCGGACGCTTACGACCCTGAAAGATTCTCCCCGGGAAGAGAAGAGGACAAAGCCGCAGGAGCATTCTCGTACATTTCCTTTGGTGGAGGTAGGCACGGGTGTCTTGGAGAGCCGTTTGCTTACCTGCAGATCAAAGCCATATGGAGTCATTTGTTGAGGAACTTTGAGCTTGAGTTGGTTTCACCGTTCCCTGAGATCGACTGGAACGCTATGGTGGTTGGCGTTAAAGGGAACGTGATGGTGCGTTACAAGCGGCGCCAACTGTCTTAGAAACAGGTTTAAGTTGGTTTTGCAACTTTGGATTTTCTCTTTGCTTATGCTTGCTTTTGTACCTCTTTGGTTTTAGTTTTGTTGTTTGATTGTTCTTCTGCTACTTTAACCGTTCTTGCTTTTCATTTCGCTTTCCAAGTTTGTTGGTTCTGCGAATTTGCTAATTTAAATGGAGATTTGATGCGGAATTTCTTTGGTTTATGCTCAGTTACTATAGTACTACTCGCACAGTGTAGCCAGTTTAAGTAGTCTATACGAAGGTATGTATATGGTGGTAATGAGAAATGAGCTTAAACTGAAGACCAGGTTGTGTTTCTTTATAATCTGCTTACACGGAATATGGATTCAGAAAAAAAGAATTTGATGATAGCCAGAGTAAAAGCTGCTCATCAACCATAGTAAGTTTGAACATTCATTATGATAATTGCAAATATATATATATATATATAAAAAAGAAAGAGGTAAAGTTTAAAATAACATTTGTGTTATATAACGGCCGGATTTAAAAGTTAAATGTCTGGAAGTCTATGTGAGTGTTGAACATTTTATACTAAATAGGTTAAATTAACATAAATGTGAATTTTGATACCATCGAATTAATTTTAAGGACTAATAGCATGCATTTAAAAAAAATGTAACGGGGAAAATTTGAAAATTTTAGAATAATTAAAAATGAAAGGTAAACTAAAAACATACAGTCATCTACAAATCAAAGAAAAAAAAAAATTGGCAAAATTCTGTTTCTGGAAGAAAAAGATTGTGGTATGTGATAAACCAAATATTTTGAACTACTTAACGTTATATCTTATATTTGGGAAGAAGTCCATCAAATCCTTGTGCTTTAAATAAAATCATAAGTATTTAGTTGATTTTCTGTTTATGTATTATAATTAAAAGTATATATATATATGTATATGTGGGTGTGATTAAAAAAATAGTCATAGATAGATAATATTAATACCTGCATCTATGGATGTAAAGAGACAAAATCTGGTACCAAATCTATATTTAAATGATTTCAAATTTCTTTCTTCATATTCTGCATTAATGTAAACTCCAGATGTATGTATATGTATATATAATGTGTCCCTGAAAATGGTAAACTCCTAATTTTCATCGTATCCCTTATGAACGCCTATTTCACTCGCACTCCCTACGAGTCATTCTCTCTTCATCGCCGGAAAACATACATCTCCTCCGTCGCATATTCCAGTCACCGGAGACAACAACGGACTGTTTTATGCCGTCTTAATCTCTTTCAACAAACTCAATCAAAAGGATTCAAAGTCTCGGCGAGGAAGCTTGCGTCAAGGCTTCAAAAACTTCCTCATAAAGGCGAGGGTTCTTTGGCTGAACGTTTTAGCTATCAGGTTTGTGATCGTTTTGTTTGGTTTCTGAGATTTCTGTACGTTTATATTTCCTTTGCCTACACTTGCTACGTAATTTTTAATCGTAAGATAATATTTCTGTAGAGGATATAGAGTCCTTAGACTAATCTAATATCCAATTATGATATTGCAGATGGAGAGCATTAGTAAGTGGGACTTAGAATCAGTCAGAACGTATTACTCCGTTGAACCTCGTGAGAAGTTTCAAGAAGACAAGTATCTAGACGGTAGCCTCGTTGATCGTCTTGAAGCCGAGTTATGGAAGGCTCAATCTAGAATCAAAGAGCTTGAGACAGAAAAGTTTGGAACAAAGGAAAATATCAGACGTTTCATCGGAAACGAAAGAAGATTCCGGGAAGAAATTAACAATGATCCATTTGTTGATTACTTGAAGGAGAAGTTAAGCAAAGAGAGGGAAGCGAGGAAAAGAGCTAATGCTGAGAATTCTGTGTTGAAGAAGAAGATGCTGGCCATGGAATCATCAGTGAATCGGTTGAGGAGAGAAAGAGACACAATGGAGAAGGTGTGCGAGGAACTGGTGACGAGGATTGATGAACTGAAAGCGGAAACAAAGAGAATATGGGACCAGACGGAGGAGGAGAGGCAGATGTTGAATATGGCTGAGATGTGGAGAGAGGAGAGGGTTAAGGTTAAGTTGATGGATGCGAAGCTTGCGTTGCAAGAAAAGTATGAGGAGATGAATTGGTTTGTGGATGAGTTAGAGAAATGTTTGGACATGGCGAGAGAAGTAGGAGGAATTGAAGAGATGAGGTTGCGAAGAGGTGAAGGTTTGATTAAAAGGGCGAGATCTATGGAATTTGCAGCCAAGAAGATGGACTTTGAGAGATTTAAGTTTGTGTCTGATGAAGATAATTATCATGTATAACTCTCCTTTTTGGGGTCAAAGTTGATGTTTAATTAATTTCTAAAAATAATATAAACGGCTATCATCAAAGTTCTGTGTCACCAAATTCTTGAATAAGCCTGGGCTAACGAAATCGAAATTACGATTGAGAACTGGAAGATATGAGAATTCCATTCCACGGAATCATGTCCAAGTTTCAAATCAGAAAATTATCTAACGTAATTAATCATGATTTCGTGATTATTTCTTGGATTGATTGCAAAATAAATTAGATATTAGAGATTGCTAATTCTTTATGTAGATTACATCAAATAAGTGAGAAGATTATAACATATTAGGAAAAAAATAATTTATCAATCTACAATGACAGGATCAATTCACACTACATAATTTCAAGATAAAATGAATTAAGGCGGCAACATATGTTTGGGAAGCTACTAAGACGACCAAATATGCAAACAACTTTTTCATAGTGTAGAATTCGAACCTCAAATCTAAAACAAATAAACAGTTGTATCTTTAAACCAATCAGCATGCCAAAGTGCTCCCGCGACTCTGGGACGTTGTTGGTGTTGGAGCTTTGAACATTTCATACTCGGAAAAATATCGAAAATAAAAATCATTGCATCTTCAGATTTTACAAAACTACGGAAAAATAGATTCAACATTAATTGTGATTAAAACTTGTCACTTTAAGTTGAAACAAACTTTTTTAGCAAAAACAAAAAAGTTTAAACATACTTTTTTTTTCTGTTAGAGAAGAAGAAAATTATTGATGTACTCTTGGATGTCTTTTTAAGTTTTGGTGTCGTGTATTTATCAACCGTTGAACTCTACATGGCAGATTTTTGTTTTTATTTTTTCTTTTGTCACTTGTTTTGTTTGTTTATCTATAATATTATTGTTATTTTTTTTTTTGTTGCTAATGATCCATGGAATCTAGAGATCCAGTCTTTTTCCGGCGTTACGATCAACACATGGCCAATATGTTATTCTCTTTATATTTCCCAACTCCAAAAGAATTCCATTTCCCAATGGAATACTAAGCTCCTGCGGGATTATTCTAATCACCTATTTTTTTAATAAAACTGAAACAACTGATGTTCAAAAAAAAGAAAAAAAAAAAGAAAACTTCTATATATATACTCGTATGGCGTAGATGCCTCCTTGAGGTTTCTCACAATGGACATAGGATCGGGAGTACTACAATGGATTGGATCATTTGTATCATATCATTCACGATACAAATGATAAATAGCTTATTATATAATTGAGATTTAAGAAATACAGTAAGGTACAATTTCCCTAGAGGTGGTAGGGGTCTATTGTGGGGTTTGTGAGTGAGAACAAACATAATGACTTGTTCGTCTCGCAAAAAGACAACTACCTGACTTATACCAATAATCTTGTCCAATTATTGGACAAAAGAAAAAATACTCAAATTAAAAACAAATTCCTACATTGATTTAGACGTGTAATATATAATAGTATATTAATATATTTTAATATTTTTTTTGGTTTTATATTTCTTGTATATTTTTTTGTTCACTGTTTTATTATTGTATATCTGTTTAATGTTTTATTATGTTTTTTTTATATCTAGCATTATTGAGTGGAATAGTTTTGTGGAGCCACTCATAACTATATTTCATAATACTAGAATCATTTATTTGATGGATTTGCAAACGTTTGACAAAATTATTTCAAAGTGTAATACAATTTTGGAATTTGACCAAACTCAAATATCTGAAACTCTTCTAGCTTGATAATCTATGTAAACGTGGATAAATCAAATACCAAAATGTTTTCTCATATATTATTCTTATGATCTTAGCTGAGAAAAGTAGACAAAAAAATTTGTTCGTATATCTATTATTTATCTATATTATAATTGAAGGAGTATTTCGATACGGTAAATATGGCATGGGGATTTTTGATACTTCTATTTCGTCATTCTGTTGAATGGAGAATTCATGAAGAAATTAGTCGAATTAAAATGGATATTTAGGAAATAAATGATTTAACATTGTGTACTAACAATACTTTAATTTTTGTTTAAAAAGTTTAGAAGCGTTTTCCTTGTATAAAATATCAACATTCTTAAAAGATTGATACAACGGAGGAAAATGAAAAGTAAAAGCTGCATAAAATATACACAAATAACAAATCCGAATGACAACGGAAAAAAATCCGACTTAATTTTTTTTTATTTTAAAAAGAAGACAATTCCGTTAAAATAATCGTAGCTGCTATGTTTACGAAATGTGTATGATATACTCTGTCTATCATTCTTAGCCGTTCAATGTGGACACAGTGGGGTTCTTCCCTCTCTTTGTACTAAGTTCGTCACAACTCACAAGTGGAGGAGACCCTGCTTTTAGTTATTATTAATTAAAAGTTAAAATCGATTTACGCATTTTATTAACAATCAATAGTTTATCAATTAATTAATAATGGCTAATGATTTATAGTGTGAAATAGTATACTTGAGTTACTCTGGATCCCACATTCCCACTTTTGATTTAAAGATTGAGTTCCCAATCAAAATGTACAGATGTGTATGATTTGATTCCTTTAGTACCATAAAATTTGATCACTGCATTTAATATGGCGTCGTACTGCAATCAAAATATTGAATGTCTAGATTAGATTTTGGAAGAAATTATATTGTAGAAGTTTCAGCTAGTTAAAACGATCATTATAAGTATTTTTGATAAAATAGTTTGAAACATTTATATTTAAAATTAATTTTGTATTGCAAAATTTAAACTACATCTTGTATATTTTTAGTTGTAAATTTTTTTAAAAAATATTTTTAGTTGTAAACTTAAAGTGGAAAGTTATAAAAATCAGGGTATATGGTCAGTATAATGGGAAAACGGCTAATTAGTACCTCAACTCTGTCAATTGGTACCGATTAGTATCTGAACAATTTTGGTGTGCTAATTAATACCCGAACTTCTGAAAATCGGAATATTCATACCCAAACTAATATTTTTTTGGCCGAAACCAATTTTGACCCGAATTCTGTTAGTCAATATCATTAAAATATTAATGGTGATGATTCAGATACAATGTGTCATCCTCGTTGGAACGAAACTACAAAACAGCGTCGTTTAGTGAAAAAAACAAATTAATCATGACATGCACGCCTCAGGAATCGAACCTGGGTTCAAGAAGGGTGTTGGGCACTATGTAACCACTAACCACTGCGCCAATTGCATAATTTTGTAGGTTAATAATCACATAAACAAATAAACCGTAAGTTCGAACCTCAATAACCAGATCACGGATACTGTTAAGGTCGATCCCTATGTGGTTTCCGTCGATGTCGTTGACTTCAAAGTTCTGACCGGTGTTGAATTCGACGGCGAGGAAAGGAACGGGGAATTGAACGGGGATGTTGGTGGAATGGGAGAGGACGAAGCAGATGCCGAAGCCAGGGCTTGTTGATATGTCAGGGAGCTCGGAGAAGACGAAGGAAGTGGAGAAAGAGGAGAGTCGGGTCGGGTTTTGGGTTGTATCGAATGACGAGAAGAAAGAGATTGGATTTGGATCTTAGCAGCTAATCATCCCCTTTTCTATTTTTGTGGTTACACATATTCAAAAAAGTTGTTATAGCGCAGTGGTAACATGGCCCATCGGCCTTCTTTGAACCCAAGTTTGATCACCAAAGTGTGCATGTCATGTTTAATTTTTTTTTTTTCACAAAACGACGCCGTTTTGTAGTTTCGTTCCAACGAAGATGACACATGGCATCTGAGTCATCACCGTTACTATTTTAACGACATTGACTAACAGAATTCAGGTCAAAGTTGATTTTGGCCAAAATAATATTAGTTTGGGTATGAATATTCCGATTTTCAAAAGTTCGGGTATTAATTAGCACATCAAAATTGTTTAGGTACTAATCGGTACCAGTTGACAGAGTTGAGGTACTAATTAGTCGTTTTCCTTCGGTATAATAGGAAGAATTTATCCGAGTTGGGAATGAACTCAGCTAAACCCGAACTATTTTTTGTTCGTTCAGTTGTTTGTTGTAAGTCTTTTTTATTCAGTTTGGTTCAGGGTGATAAATATAATCAGTTTTTGCAAACTCAGCCTCATAATTCAGCGTAGTTCGACTATTTTGGTTTACTAAATATAAACGTGAATTTTAAACAGTTTTTTTTTATTAAAATCATCTACCCTGTCTTTCACATACATCATCAAATTTAAATCTAAATAATGACACTACACATTATTATAAATCACTAGATTAATCAGTTCCGATCAACTAACAACATCTTTCAGTAGACTTAGTTGCACACAAACAATTTGGCTAACTTTTGATTTTTCTAAAAGTTTATTGTGAACAAAAACTTCTCGTGAACAATTTTTTTTCTTACCAAAAACTGGTGATAAAAAATTTGCAACTTTTTACCCAATTTGGCAAGTTGACGATAAGTGTTTCCTAGACTTTCTCGAGTAAGCTGATGACAAAATAAAAAGAGACACTTTCGAGTGACTCACACGCGCCTCCGGGCAGCGCGTCACGTGGCATGTCTCGTCCTGTTACAGCGTGTCCAAATTGTTTATCTGTTAACTGTTACGTGTGGGAAATGGAGGGCCTACTGTCCACATTGGTTAATCATACCCATAAATTTTTGTAAATTTATTCCAAAATTTAATTTTATCTTTCTCAAAATTTTAACTCACTCCTCTTTATTTTCGTTTTTTTTACAAAGATCCCTTACTATTCAGATTCTAGATATGAGATCATAAAAGATTCTTGATTTGATTTGACCAAAGACAAAAGAGATGGTCTAAATTAAAAATTCGTTGCGCTTATTAGATGGCAGAATATCAAACACATTCACGAAATTGCACAGAACCTTTCGTTGCAAACTTTCTCCATCCAAAAGTTGGTTTATATAATAAATATCTAACGGTGGAAACTCCATCTAAAAAAGGACCACTAAATTTTAGAATTAGGGTTTAGACGACAATACAGACATGTTATGGGGTGTTTTTGTAAGAAGTTTATAACGTAGTGGTATATTTGAGATTTAAATTTCTTTATATTTCTCATTTCACATCCTTTTGGACTCTTGTGCTGAGAAAAATGCTATATATAGTCGTCCATTTCGCTGCGTTTAAACTTATACCGAAATCTCTAATTCCTTAATCTCCTGAATGCTAAAGATAATAATTTAAAAGTAATTAACTAAAACAATTAGTGATTATTAATCTGTGGAGCTTCAATGGCAAAGGGTCGAAAGCTGACGGTAAGCCAGAGCGAGAGGTATCTAGGAAGCAGCTATGGTTACGGTGACAGTAACGGAAACTCCGTCACCGACGAATCAGAGCTCACGGAAGAGGATATCTGGTCACACGCCGTCGATCATAGCCCCGAGGATCGGTCGGAGATGCCCGAATTGCTAGGCGCGTGGTCTCCACGCGATGCGTTGGTGAGGAACGGGCGCGTGCGCGGTGGTCTGTCTCTGGCGTTTGAGGACACGTCATCATCGCCGAGGATCGTGCACCAGATACGCGGCGGAGGAGAAGGAGGCGGTGGAGGAGGAGGAGGAGGAATCCAGCGGCAATTGGCGTCGTCGGCGCCGGTAAACGTGCCGGATTGGAGTAAAATCTACCGAGTCAACTCGGTTGAGTCGATACACGAGTCGGATGAAGAGGACGAGGAAGACTCCGGGATGATGCCGCCGCACGAGTACCTGGCGAAGAGCCAAAAGCGACGGAGCAGGAAATCTGGTGGCGGCGGAGGAGGCTCGGTGTTTGAAGGAGTTGGAAGGACTCTCAAAGGTCGAGAATTAAGGCGCGTTCGTGACGCGATTTGGAGCCAAACAGGGTTCTACGGCTAAATTAATTAGTACTAATACATATATAATTAAGAAACATTTTAAAAATTTGGAAAAAAATTTGCTTGTTTTGTCAGGGTGTAGAATTAATTTTGAAACTTTCTTGAATCCCAAGCGTGAGATATAAGACTTATTTGGCTTTCCATGCAGATGTTCTTTTTTTTTTGTTTCTTTTTAGATTTCTAAATGAATTGTTGGATAATTTTCATGAACCTCATGCGCTATTTGTATATTTTTTTTATCGTATTGATTAATTTTAAGATTTTTCATGTCATTATATAACATCCTAAAAGTATGAAATGGCCATTTACATTTTCATCATGAAAAGTTACAGAAGAATTATTAATCCCATGGCAGGTAGGTTACGAGGTTGAGCACTTGAGCAATAATTTACTGAGAGAGCTTTATTGAACCTAGCTTGCTTTCGAGTTCGAATCTCATGATTGAAAAAGAATGGCTTCAATTTTTACGAATATTTTATAGAAACTATAGTTCCGGAATTTAGTTACAAAAAAAAACTAGGTCCGGACCATAAAGGAGCATCATGACATGAAATGAAAATATGAAACTTTAAATTAGGGGAAAAAAACAAAAACTGAAGTATGGCACTAGTTATACAATTTCTTCCTCGTAGTATTCATTTTTAGCTTAATAGTATGATGAATAATATATTAACTGTTCAAACACAGTTCATATGTCAGGTGCTACGTAACAAGGATATTAATGATTGAGCACCGATATTGTTTATGATAGTAAAAGATTAATTAATCAATAAATATTAGGTCTAGTTATTAATTAAGTGATAATTTGACATGATATGAAAGGCAAGTTTGTATATAATTAATGAGAACAGATGTGTCCTTGCAACATTATTGTGTCCACAGGTAAACTGTCCAAAGAATCCACTTCAAAGTGGGCACTCACGAGCAAGAAAAAGACACTATTTTCAATTAATTTTCCCTACAAAAATCATGATGGTTCATGAAATGGCATCTTGTTATATAATTTGACACGTCACTGAAACTTATATGAACATCGAAGAGATTAATGAGATAACTAATTCTGACTGTATGAGTGATCTTTTGTTTTTTTTCAGTCCAGTCGCAGGTATGCATATTTAATTTTAAACATACTTATGTTCTATGGTTATATGCCTAACTTATATCAAATAGAAGTATACGTCCAAATTTAAGCAATTTTCTATCGTTCATTGACACATTTCCTTATCTTGGATTCACCAAGAAGTTGAATTAACCGCATACATTTATATATGTGAACCATAAATCTTGTGGTCTATTCGACAAAATTATGGGGTCAAATAGTCTGGACATTTAGGATTTTGGATTGGCTTATGTATTCTCTAAAGAAAAATCTAAATACACGGGAAAAAACCTACAAATTAAAACTTCATGATCAGATATCATGACTTCATCAACAAACTGTGGGAAAGAATGTTAATTTATTATCAAGTGTACCGCGAATATGATCTACATATAATAATCTAAAACACACACACACATTTATATATATATATATGTATGTATATATATAAATATACACTCATGTGTATGTATGTACTCACTTATCTTATATGGACATGATGATGTAGTTATGGAAGGGTAGGGTATGGGTTGGGGTCAAAAGAAAGTGACACAAGTTAGAGAGTGTTTGTGTTAAAAGCATAAGAGAAGGGAAGTTTGTCAAAAATGTTTTTGATCCCTCTGTGAGTTATGCCTTTGCCTTTTTCAACAAAAGGACCTTTGAAAGTGATTTTGATCGAGAAGTCTATATATCATGGCCTTCATTTGTGTGGGCTCAACGTACACATCTCTTTCCACTCTTATCTCTCCCAAACTCTCTCTTCACCGTTCATCGCTCTTTCTCTCTCTCTCTCTTCCCTCTTTCAATAATTTGATTCCTTTATGCGATTCCTAGCATTTATACATACAAAACCAAATGCATTGATTAATATAGGAAATTCAAGAACAATACTAGAAATATTTGAGAATATCTCTTAGACAAGGTTAGATCTTCTAATTGTCTTCGTATTGAAACAAAAAAATAAAAATCATGCAACGAAGGATAAATGAAAGCATGTGAAGTTCGTACCGTTTGTGCTAATTCAATATGTTATGTGGTTGATTTTGAACTTAAGACTAAGTAAATTAGCCCCCAACAAGATTCGAACTCGTGACCTTGAAGCGCACTTCCTTTGGACACCAATAGAATTCCTTAAGCTAGATTTAACAAAACATATTTGATCAGTGAAGTCTCTTTTAGGTCACAGCAACAGGTAGTTTGAATTACTCTAGAGTTTGATCCCTTGAAGAATCCATTTGACATAGCTTTTGTGAAGCTTTGTCCATCAAAGGAAAGGTTAAACAAGTTAGTGGCTAGGTCAATTGATTTCACTATACCCAATGGGTCATGAGAACAAATAAAATATATCAATTGTTTATATATTTATAGGGGTGGGTGGATAATTTAATATAGATATTGATGGGAAAATTTTATATAGATATTGATGTCATGGGGGCCAATTGGACTTGACCCAACTTCTTCAAACTATGCTAAACACACAAACACAAGTATATTCGTCGAATATATTCTATACTACTTCTTCGAGTTCGATCATCAAATGAAATTAACTTCAACTTTTACTTCACACGATTCAATTCTGTTCTCTGTTTCGATAATGTTCACAGTCCAGATTTGATGCAAACAACCAATTATATAGGGAATATAAGTTTTACTGTCAACATCAAATACAATTTATGACATTGTTATACTTGCAGAAGTACAACTAATTTGTGCACATTTCACATCCATGTTTAAAATAGTGCTAGACGTTAGTTCGACGATCGAGCGGAAGTCCGCCTAACGCCTAAACGAAAAATCGGAAATTAATCAGGATTAATTAAAAATTAGTTTTTATATTCATTTTAATTATTTTTAATATTTATTTATTTTTAAAGATAAATTTTGTTATATTAAAATATATATGAATTAAAGTTTATATAATTATATGCATAATAATAAATCTAGAAGACATATTAGTGGGTTAAGTACCCATATTTAATTCAAGCCCATAAATATGCATGACATTTTTTTAAAATAGGTCTTTTAAGTTGTCCCACATCGACAAAGTTGGATAAGTGAGAAGGGGAAGCTGCACCATATATAAGAGTCTTCATCCTCTAAGTAACTATACTCTATCCGTCAATGTTGTAGGTCTGTAGATAATATTGGGAGCGATCCAGTTGGGCCTGTATAATTATATTAGGTCTGTTATGGGGCCAGTATAATTTTAGGTTGGCGATTTTTCGAACACAGCTTCACACAGATATATATCCACTATTTGCTTTTTTCCTTTTTAATAAAATAATATATAATTATTATTATCCCAATTGAAAGGTGCGTGGGATATTCAAAATTAAAATTTTTATGATTACCATAATAAATATGTATCAATTTCGGTAATTCCTAAACCGGTCATTAAGTTGGATAGTTAACCGCTTTTTGTTTTTCTCGTTAACTCCTGACTTTTTTCTCTTTTACAGAAGTTTTACACCAGCGACAGACGCTGCTCTATCGGAAGATCATGATTTCGCATCTATCGGAAGATCATGATTTCGAGTTCTTCTACGTTAAAGACATCTATCTAAAATTCAGGATTTAGAGTGGATATCATTATCTGATTTTCTTTATGTTCGCTCACGTTTTCTCCAAACGAACGAGATTTCTAGTACGGTGCTTTCACGTCGCTGAGAAATTCTCGAATCCTAAGCCGGAAGACATTATATTTAGTGCCCTCTGTTTGAATTTAAGACAAAGAAGATGGAACACTCTTCATCAGTTCTCCCCAAGTCTCACAAATCCATTGATAACCCGAGTTCTTCACCAGTTTTGGAGCTCGCCGAAGCTAGCTTTAGAGTTCTACAAATGGGTTTTAGGAAATGAAACTGCGGTTAATTTCTCTAAGAACCGTTTCGAAGTCTCTTGTGTGATGATTCATTTGCTGGTCGAATCGAGAAGATTCGATGATGCTTTATCAATAATGGTGAATTTGATGTCTGTGGAAGGCGGAAATTTGAGTCCTTTACATGTTTTGTCAGGTTTGATTAGAAGTTACCAAGCTTGTGGTTCGAGTCCTGATGTGTTTGATTCGTTGGTTAGAGCTTGTACACAGAACAATGATGCTGAAGGAGCTTATACAGTGATTGAGCGAACGAAAGCAGAGGGCTTTTGTATTTCTGTTCATGCGTTGAATAATTTCATGGGTTGTATATTGAACTTGAATGACATTGATTGGTTTTGGAAGGTTTACAAGGAAATGGATTCTTTGGGATATGTTGAGAATGTGAACACCTTTAATCTAGTCATATACTCTTGTTGTAAGAAGAATAAGCTGCTTGAAGCATTATCAGTGTTTTACCGGATGTTGAAATGTGGGGTTTGGCCTAATGTTGTAAGCTTTAATATGATGATTGATGGAGCTTGTAAGACGGGAGATATGGGATTCGCTTTGCTGATCTTAGGGAAGATGGGAGTGATGTCCGGAAACTTTGTCTCGCCTAATGCTGTGACGTACAATTCGGTTATCAACGGGTTTTGCAAGGCGGGAAGATTGGATTTGGCGGAAAGAATCCGCATTGACATGGTGAAATCAGGTGTTGGTTGCAATGAAAGAACCTATGGAGCTTTGGTGGATGCGTATGGAAGAGCAGGAAGTTCAGATGAAGCTTTAAGGTTGTGTGATGAGATGACGAGTAATGGACTTGTGGCGAATACCGTTATCTATAACTCTGTTGTTTATTGGTTGTTCATGGAAGGTGACACGGAAGCAGCTATGCTGGTGTTGAGGGATATGACGTGTAAGGAGATGCAAATTGATCGGTTTACTCATGCCATTGTTGTTAGAGGTCTATGCAGAAACGGATACGTTGAGGAAGCTGTTAAGTTTCAGAGAGAGATTTCAGAGAAAAAACTCGTGGAAGATGGAGTTTCTCACAACACGCTTATGCACTATTTGGTAAGGGATAAGAAGTTGGCGTGTGCTGATCAAATTCAAGGGAGTATGTTGGTTCGTGGATTGAATCTTGATGTGATTTCGTTTGGTACTTTAATCGATGGACACCTAAAGGAAGGTAAGTTGGAAAGAGCGATCGATATCTATGATGGTATGATCAAGATGAAACAAAAACCGAATCTTGTGGTTTATAATTCAATTGTGAATGGATTAAGCAAAAGAGGATTGGCTGGTGCGGCTGAAGCAGTTGTGAAGGCAATGGAAAGTAAGGATGCTGTGACTTACAACACACTGTTGAACGAGTTTCTCAAATCCGGGAATGTCCAAGAAGCTGTCAGTATCTTATCTAAAATGCAGAAACATGGCGGTGAAAAATTGGTTAGTCTGGTAACTTACAACATTTTGATAAATCACTTGTGCAAGTTTGATTGTTATGAGAAAGCGAATGAAGTTTTGAAGATTATGATTCAGAGAGGTGTTGTTCCGGATCTTATAACATATGGAACTTTGATTACATCGTTTAGCAAGCAGCGAGATCAAGAAGAAGTCATTGAGCTTCATGATTACATGGTTCTTAATGGAGTTGAATCTCATGAACAAATTTACAAATCTATTGTTAGGCCTATTCTTGATGGAAAAAGTGGAAGAGACCTAAAAGAGCCATAGTCAAAAGGCAACGAAAGCTTTCTTGTTTGCACTTTGGGGAGAAACTGCTGAATGGTTCGGAGAGTTTCTCTGAAGACTGGAGAAGCTTCTTTTTTAGAAGACTGTACTATCAGGATCTCTATCTTGTTCGTACACGTGGACCCTTGGACGATTATAATCAACGGTCAGTGTTGGTAAATGAGGATCTCATAGGATTGATTTGGACTTGTAAATCGGGGATTGTCTGGCACGTGGCGCTTATGCACCGGCAAAGCGATTTCTTTGTCACGAGCTAGGAACTTAAACAAGTACCAACGACGTGAGATTCAATTATTAGCCGTCCAGATTTCTTTGACGGATTAGAATAATTTTAATTTTTTTAAACGTGAGAAGCAGAGGAAAATGTCCCACAATAGATATTAGTATAAGTTAAAATGAATGGCTGCGACTGCGATTGTAAATCTTCTGTTGTAATGTTGCTAGATGTCGATATCACCATAGCTTATTAAACATTTTCATTCATGTGAATAAATCATGTCACAATATAATAACATTAATCATCATATGACCTCTCTTTCTCTTTCTCTCTCTCTTAATTTAATGAAATTATAATTTTTTTAGAATAAAATTCTAAAATAAACACTAAACAGTTTCAGTGATTGAGAAATGGCGTGGTGAAGGCAGTGGAGGGGATGCTTCAACAACAAACATTCTCTCTCTCTTCTCGGCATATACCTGAAGTACACGAACGCTTTCTTCCTTTCTCTATCTATCTCCCTTCTTCTTCTTCTTCTTCTTGTCGTGTTTCTTTGGGCAGCCATGGAAGTGTGTTGGCAGATACAGAGACCGGCGAGTCTCAGACCGGTTTTCCAGGAAAAGGGTCGGCTCAAGATCAATACTTCGACTGGGTTTTTGCCTCGCCCAAAATCTTGCTCCTTTTCTACTGTAAATCTCTATAAGTTTCTTACACGAATACACTTAGGATTCTACTCTTTTTTTTTTTGGAAATTGAAATGCAAAGTGTTCTTCTTTATTGGGAATTGAAGTCCAAAGTGTTGTATTTTTTTTAGTGAGATCGCCTTTTCGATTAGGAAATCTTTAGTTGGAATCGAAAATTTGATAGAATGTACTATTTTTTAGGAGATTGTACTGGTAGGGTCTATGGATTGGGAATCTCAACGTTAGAATCTCGTTTCGAATTGGTAGATTATAAGAATTAAGAAATGAGTTAGGACATCCACTTTCTACTGGTACAATCCTCACTGCATTGAGAACTAATCTTTGAAGAAAAAAAGTTGGGGAGTGAGAAAACATTTTGGGGACTATTGAGCTTTGAGTTAGAGTCCGAGCCGAAGATTCACGGTTTGGACGAATGAAAATGTCTCACCTTTTTATGGGTTTTATTCACAGCTTGTTTACTTCTGGTGTGATTAATTAGTTCAGGTGTTCTTGGTTGTGGTTTTTTTTTTATAATCTATTTTTCTGGATTTAGAGATTGTAAAAAAGGTGTTTGAACAGTTGTAGAATCGATTTCTAACCATAGACATGTTTGGTTCTCAGATTGCTTCGTTGGAAAATCAATACAATTCAAATGGGTTTCTGCATCAGATCACGGCAAGTGCAGGTTAAGAATCAAGAATCGGTTCAAGAGGGTTTATAACTTTCCATTGCTATTACTGATTCAGCCCTTATTGATGTATTCTTATTTTTTTCACCAAGATTTTTCAAGGAAGAAGCAAGGAAGAATGGCAGCTCCAGGACCCAAAAGCTCATCTCCTAGAGGCTTTGGGCGACGAACAACAGTAGGAAGTTCTCAAAAAAGAGCTCAGAAGAAGAACGGTGAAAAAGATAGCAATGCCACTTCTACAGTAACAAATGAGGTTTTAGGAGTTACTAAGTTGCCTGAAGCTAAAGTGGATGTGCAGAAACAAGATTCTGTTGCTTCTGGTGAGAGGAATGTGTTAGATAGGTCGGAAAGTGAGGATGGAATTGACCGGTTGGATAAGAAAGCAACTAAGGATGATGCTTTATTAGAACAAAAGTTAAAAGTTGAAAGGGAATATCTTCGTAGGCAGGAAATAGAAGCGCTTGCAGAGGAAAGTTTGGCTAGAGGTGATAGAATGTTTGTGCATCCCCTTACTGTGAAACCCGATGAAGACATTGAAGTGTTTTTCAACAGGAATCTATCGACTCTGAACTATGAACCTGATATTTTGATCATGGGGGCATTTAACGACTGGAGATGGAAATCTTTCACTAGGAGATTGGAAAAGACATGGATCCATGGAGATTGGTGGTCATGTCTCCTTCATATCCCCAAAGAAGCGTATAAGATGGACTTTGTGTTTTTCAATGGTCAAAGTGTATATGACAACAATGACTCAAAAGATTTCTGTGTAGATGTAAAAGGTGGGATGGATAAAGTTGAGTTTGAGAATTTTCTTCTAGAAGAGAAATGGCGAGAGCAAGAGAAGCTAGCTAAGGAAGAAGCTGAGAGAGAAAGGCAAGAGGAAGAGAAGAGAAGAGTCGAAGCTCGAAAGGCTGCAATTGAAGCTGATAGAGCACAAGCAAAGGCAGAGACCCAGAAGAGACGTGAAATGCTTCAACCGGCTCTTCAGAAAGCTGTAATCTCGGCTGAGAATGTGTGGTACATTGGGCCGAGCGATTTAAAGGTTGAAGATAAAGTGAAGCTATATTACAATAAAAGCTCAGGTCCCCTGGCTAATTCCAAAGAAATCTGGTTGCATGGAGGGTTTAATAACTGGGCTGATGGACTATCTATCGTTGAAAAGCTTGTTGATGCTGAGTTAAAGGTTAATCCAAAGAGCGGAGATTGGTGGTTCACTGAAGGTATAAGTGAAACTTTCTTATCTTCTTGAACGAACTTGCATTTCTTGATATATTGATGTAGTAACGAATCCTGTTTCTGCCATTTATTTTACTTACATTTTGCATGGTCAATATGCAGTCATAGTGCCTGACGGTGCTTTAGTCATTGACTGGGTCTTTGCTGATGGACCGCCTAATGGAGCGGTTCTGTATGACAATAATAGTCACCAAGATTTCCACGCACTTGTTCCTCGAAGAACTCCAGAAGAGACTTACTGGCTAGAGGAAGAAAATCTGATGTTTAAGAAACTTCAGGAGGAGAGGCGGTTGAAAGAGGAAGCCATACGTGTCAAGGTTAGTGCTCAATACATCTTACAAAAGACCGGCTTATCCTCTTTACCATATTGCTTTCATTCAAGTTGTCTTTCTTGACTACATTGAATTTACATTCTTCATCTTTTTTTTTAATGCAGATGGAGAAAACAGCTCGCTTGAAAGCCGAAGCTAAGGAAAGAACACTTAAAAAGTTTCTACTTTCCCAGAAAGACGTGGTTTACACCGAGCCTCTAGAGATTCAAGCGGGAAGCCCTGTGACGGTTTTCTACAATCCTTCAAACACGGTTTTGAACGGAAAACCTGAGGTTTGGTTTAGAGGTTCTTTTAATCGCTGGACTCACCGCTTGGGTCCTTTGCCACCTCAGAAAATGGAAGCAGCAGATGATGGAAGCTCGCACATGAAGACTTCAGGCAAGATTTCAGTTTGTAAAAAAGATTTCCATCCCAGAGACTGTTTCATGATATGTGACTAATGTTTCTCTCTTTTTTTGCCGCAGCTAAGGTTCCATTGGATGCTTACATGATGGACTTTGTGTTTTCTGAGAGAGAAGATGGTGGAATATTCGATAACAGAAATGGCTTAGATTACCATTTACCGGTCGTTGGAGGTATAGCCAAGGAACCACCATTGCATGTTGTTCATATTGCTGTTGAAATGGCACCCATCGCAAAGGTAACAGTAAGATGTGAGGTTTATAGCCATCAGAAACATAATATACCTCTGAGGTTTATTACCTGCAGGTTGGAGGCTTAGGTGATGTTGTCACTAGTCTATCTCGTGCAGTTCAAGAATTAAATCATAATGTGGATATCATTTTTCCAAAGTATGATTGCTTAAAGCACAATTTTGTAAGATCTATGTCTTCTCATATTTTTGGCCTTCACTTCTCTTCTTTTTCTGTATATCTCTTTGTGTACTTAATTTTGTGAGAAAAATATAGGTGAAGGACTTGCAATTCAACAGAAGCTATCACTGGGGAGGTACTGAAATAAAAGTTTGGCATGGAAAAGTGGAAGGCCTTTCGGTTTACTTCTTAGATCCGCAAAATGGGTAAGCTTTTATGCATTTCTCTTTAAGCTTTGTTCTAACCCCATTCTCATCATCTCTTGAGGACGTGAAGAAGTTGTTGTTTTTCCTTTGACTTTTTCAGATTGTTTCAGCGAGGATGTGTCTACGGTTGCGCAGATGATGCAGGAAGATTCGGTTTTTTCTGTCACGCAGCACTTGAGTTTCTTCTTCAAGGAGGTTTACATCCAGTACGTCTACTCGTCCAACTACTCCTTTAGAATTATCAAGAATGCTCATTACAAAGTCTTTTTTTCTAAGTAGCGGCTCTAACCCGTGGTCTCGATATCTACAGGACATTCTTCACTGTCACGACTGGTCCAGTGCTCCGGTTTCATGGCTATTCAAGGATCATTACACGCATTACGGTTTGATCAAAACTCGTGTTGTCTTCACAATTCATAATTTGGAATTTGGAGCTAATGCCATTGGTAAAGCCATGACATTTGCGGACAGAGCGACAACGGCAAGTCTTAAAAAATTCTCCTTTAGAATATCTGTTACTACAACAAGATGGTTTACTCTTGGTTTTTTCTTTTGAATAGCTGGGATTGAAAATGACTCTCGTTCTGCTCTTAACATGACTAGGTTTCCCCTACTTATGCCAAGGAAGTTGCTGGAAACGCTGTGATCTCTCCACATTTATACAAGTTTCATGGAATCATAAACGGGATCGACCCAGATATATGGGATCCGTACAACGACAACTTCATTCCCGTGAGCATCCTCTCATTTACCGTCTTTGAGTTTTTTTTCTATGTTTTGTGATGTTTGAACACTTTGTGTGGCTCTTAGGTACCTTATACATCAGAGAACGTCGTAGAAGGCAAAAGAGCCGCCAAGGAAGAATTGCAAAACAGGCTTGGGCTAAAGATTGCAGATCTTCCGTTTGTAGGAATTATTACGCGCTTGACTCACCAGAAAGGAATACATTTGATCAAACACGCTATTTGGCGTACCTTGGAACGAAATGGACAGGTCTGTTTCTTGCCTTTATTTCAACGTTGAAGAAAGTCTTGTCATGAACTTTTCACAATCCTTACCAATTTTCTTGAAGCAGGTTGTACTGCTAGGTTCAGCTCCAGATCCTAGGATCCAAAATGATTTCGTAAACTTGGCAAACCAATTGCATTCTTCTCACGGTGACCGAGCTCGGCTTGTTCTAACCTACGATGAACCTCTTTCCCATTTGGTAACAAAATAGCAAAACCTTTATTCGTTTTTCCACTCCATTTGGTAACAAAATAGCTCTAAGCCTCTTCGTGTTTTACTCTCCAGATATACGCTGGGGCTGACTTTATTCTTGTCCCGTCGATATTTGAGCCGTGTGGACTGACACAGCTCATAGCCATGAGATACGGCGCTGTTCCTGTTGTTAGAAAAACTGGAGGTAACAGTTTTTTGCTATGTCATCTTAAAACTTATCCCTCAAAAGTCAAGACCGAGCTGACTTCAATGTAATATTTATCTTTTTGTCCACTATAGGACTCTACGACACTGTTTTTGATGTCGACCACGATAAAGAAAGGGCACAAGCTCAAGTTCTAGAGCCTAATGGCTTCAGCTTCGACGGGGCTGATGCTCCTGGTGTAGATTATGCTCTCAATAGGTAAAAGAACAAAAGATAACCATACTTCAAAATAACCAACATCTTGATTCTTTATAGCATGAGCATTGTTTCTTGATTTTTTTTTGCAGGGCGATATCGGCGTGGTATGATGGTAGAGAGTGGTTTAACTCTCTGTGCAAGACGGTGATGGAGCAAGACTGGTCATGGAACCGTCCTGCACTTGAGTACCTTGAGCTCTATCACTCTGCACGCAAGTGAGAAGAAACCAAAAAAATAGGAAAGTTTAAGATCAATTCTCTTTGTATGTACAGAAATTAGCTTTTGAGATACCTTAGAAAGTTTGATCATTTGTTCTTCTTTTAACATTTCCAAGGCATTTAAAGATCATATGGAGTCTGCTTTTGTAATTCTGAATAAAATAAAATTCTGAGCAAAGTTTATATACCACTGTTATATATATCTCAAATTTCTAACTGAAATGACCCGTTTCCGACCCGGTTCTAAGTGCGATACGACCCGGAAACCGAACAATGTAACTCTTCCCGGCACTTGATCTGCAGCTGCAGTTATCAGCACATTAGTAGCAAAAAAAAGTATCAGTATTTGGTATTTTAATAACTCCAAAATCCATAATTAGAAACGTCTAATTATCGTACTTACCAAACGTTACCCCTTTTTCTTTCTAGTTAAATCAAGTTATGTGTAATTAATTCTTTCTTCATGCATCTCTCTCTCTAGGTAGAGAGAGTGTGTAAAAAAGGGAGAGAAAGAGAGAGTCTGCATCACAGAGAAAAGAACTGTAAATAAACTCACAAAGAAAACACAAAAAGCTTGAACCTTTGACTCCAAAGTAAACAAATCTTAGATTTTGCGTTGACCACTTCGGTTTTTCTCGGATTTAAGCTCTAGCAGCCAAATCAAAATGTCTTTTAAGAACAGAGGAGGAGATTACTATTTTACTCCACGAAGTGTAACTTCTAGAAACTCTGTCTTTTTCTTGTGCCTCGCAAGTTTCTGCCTTGGAATGTTCTTCACTAACAGGTAAATCTATTACATAAACCCCTTTTTGTGCCCATTTTGCTTGTGTTCGACGATTTCTTAAAAAGTTTGGTATCTCACTGTTCATGTCTGATTCTAGCTTCTTTTTTTTCCTGGAGCTTTAATCAATTGGGTGTTTTCTATTTCGTTACCAATTTCATCTTCTTGAAACTAAATCTGCCTTGTGTTTCTCCACATGTCAGTAGTTTTTTGAGCTTAGAGTTTTGTCGGTGAAGGCTTGCTTTTTCCAGACGGGTCTATTTGGCTCATGTATGCTTGCAGCTTTTGTGAGGAATTAACGAGCATACAAAAAAAAAAAAAAATCTATATCGTATATTGCTTATTTGATAGATTTGATCAAATGATGACACATAGTAACGTTTTAGGATATGATCAGTCTCTTGCTTAATTTATTGAGGGATGACTGGTATTATATGTTCCCAAAGAATGAAAACATATAAAGATTGGATCATTTTGTTGCAAAATCTGCAAAAGTCGGTGACTTGATCTGCATTTTGGTTCGGGTTAGTGTTTGTATTGATCTTGTGGAGTTAAATGTGTTTGCTTGGTTATGCGAAACGAAGATAATGGGATGATGATGACCATTGTATCAGGATGTGGAATGTTCCTGAAGCCAGAAGCATTTCAAGACTCTCCAAACTAAGCTTAAGATCCGCTGACTGTGATAAAACTAATGTAAGACTTCTGAGTTTTCTGCATAACCAATTCACGTGGAAAATATCGATGATTCATTGTTTGATCTTGTGTTCATTGCAGGTTTTGGATTATGGTAACAACACTATCGGGTAAAGCCTTTTAGAAACTTTACCAGATGTATCCATGAACGATTACTATAGATATGCTTAGATGATGATGGTGATGATGTTATATAATACCAAAAAATGCAGGATATTAGATAAATCCATTTCAAGTTTAGAGATGAAATTAGTAGCTGCCAGAGCTGCACGAGAGTCTTTGTTCGAAAAATTTAACATTTCCAGACAAGTCAAGGAAAGAAAATACTTCATGGTTATCGGTATTAATACTGCATTTAGTAGTCGTAAGAGACGTGACTCAGTCCGGTCAACATGGATGCCACAAGGTAAGGTTGTTCCCGGTTGCTTGATTTATTGTGTAGATACACAATGAAACGGTAACTTTCATTTTTTCGGTTTTTAAACAAATATTCAGGAGAGAAGCTTAAGAAACTTGAGGAAGAGAAAGGAATCATTGTTCGGTTTGTAATAGGACACAGGTACAAAGGAGAAGTCATGTTCTGTTGCGAGAAACTAAGCATTTATACCGATATTTTACTTTGTGAACACTGACATGTTTGTGTTCTTGAATTGTTCTGATTTCAGTATGTTGTCTCGCGGGATTCTAGAGAAAGCTATTGAAGCAGAGGAGAAAACACATGGAGATTTCCTGAGACTAGTAAATTGTCATACTTTTATTCTCTTGTGTCTTTGGTATTTTTTGCTACTTATTTATTAAAGCTTTAGAAAACATAACAGGAACATACTGAGGGATACATGGAGTTATCCGCCAAGACGAAGACGTTTTTTGCTACGGCTGTTTCATTGTGGGACGCAGAATTCTACATCAAAGTCGACGATGACGTTCATGTGAATCTTGGTAAAAAAAATATCAAAAAAATAACTTCTTTATATCATAGATCATCAGATCATCTCATCCATTTTGTTTTGATGTCTTGATCCGTTTTTTGTTTGCCTGCAGCTACTCTCAAGACGACTTTATCTGTTTACCGAACCAAGCCTCGGGTTTATGTTGGATGCATGAAGTCTGGTCCCGTCGTAGCCAGAAAGTAAGTAAAAAAACCACCTATCTTCTAAGGTGAGCATTTTAAAGGTTCTTAAACTGTGTAGAAGAAACTTGTTTCCAGAGCATTTAATATCCACGGGGTGAAAATACAGGGGTGTGAAGTACCATGAACCGGAACATTGGAAGTTTGGAGAGGTCGGGAACAAGTATTTCCGCCATGCCACGGGACAGTTTTACGCGGTTTCTAAGGATCTAGCAACCTACATATTGATAAACCAGTAAGTTTTTTTTTTTTTTTTTATCTTGGTTTTAGCGGTTTAATGCGACCAAAATTCTCAGGGAAAAAAAAACATCTATTGATCTTATTCTTTACCGTCGAAAATTAAGGAACTTGCTGCATAAGTATGCAAATGAGGATGTTTCCTTGGGATCTTGGTTCATCGGACTGAATGTGGAACATGTTGATGACAAAAGACTCTGTTGCAGTACTTCTCCTCAAGGTAAGGTCTGGTTTATGTTTGGTTTGGTTCTACATTAGAATAATGGTAAATATTTTGAAAAATGGTAATTGGTATAAAATATCATGGTATTAGAAATTTTAATCAGAAACTCATTGTTTTTTCTTAGACTTATTATCATGGTTTTAGAAATTTCAATAAATAAATCAGATTCTAATTGTTTTACACACTACAAAAAATTTAACTCATTTTTACATAATACAATTTGTATAATTCGTTTTTATATTTGTTAGTTACGATAACTTTTTACTGAAAAAAATGCTGATTTCTATTTCGTTTTTTGGTAACCAAAAAGTTTCGAAGATCTTTGGTCTACTTATTATTAGTAGATATGTTTGTTTCATTAACATTTTTGAAAGTTGAAACGCAGATTGTGAACTAAAAGCAGTGATGGGTAATGTTTGCGCGGCTTCGTTCGACTGGAGATGCAGCGGAATCTGTCGGTCGGCCGAGAGAATGGCCGATGTTCACGAACGTTGTGGCGAACCTGAAAATGCGTTATGGACCTCAAATTCCTGAAAACAATAAATAAAGAAAACAAGATTTATTACTACAGTACTACGACTATAATAATAGAAAATCATACGAACAAGCTATTAGTTGGAGACTATAATTCGAGTAAAGCTAATTCTGTTTTTTTGTTTGTTTGTTTGGGTGTTATAGTTGGTACAAGTGGTAGGGTTTTGGTCAGAAGATTAATAAATGTATATGCAAAAAATAGTTAGTGAAGTAGTTTAATGAGAGACAAAGAAATAATGTTTTGGTCACATTTAGTTTGTCCTATGACAGACAGAGAGTCCTTACTGCTGTGCCTTTTTATTAATTCCCACATGTCCTCCTTTTTGCTGAGGGAGGGACTACTTTATGTTTTTTTCTGACCTATTTTTCAAAGCAAAAAATACCTATATATTGAGTTGATGATCTCAATTAGGCTCTAAACTCTTAACTCGGAAAATTTACAATCGGATTTGTTTGTTTAGTCTACAAATTTTGAAATTTGTATGGACCAAGTCTATCTGATCCCTGATTTTTTTTCAAATAAATAAATGAATCAGATAATCAGATTTCAGGTCACTCTCGCCTAATGGTCTCTTTATCCGGTCTTGGATTTTATTTTTCTTTTTATAATTTTATTTTTATTTTCATGGGTTGTCTTAATTAAGATCGAACATTTTTGATGCACATAATTGACAACTCTCTTCTATTTCTCTAACGTTCATTGGACATCATCCACGAATGGTGAAGAAAATGAATTATTTAATTCTCTCACTAAATTATAAATAACCTTATTTTATCTTCTAACAAACATACTTCCGGACATGTTGAACGACTTGATAAAGTTTTATTAATTTAACCCTATTGAGAATAAGTCCAAAAGACAGACTTCCTAGTTTTCGTAAGATTAACAAAAAAAGCGTATAAAACACACTTTTATGTACATAAACAAATAAGATAAATCAGTCCGCAGTTAATTATAGACAAAAATGCTGATAATTACAAATTAAGTTTTTGTATTGGTACTGATAATTGCAATTATCGTCACGAGAGTAAATCATGACGCATATTACATTCGTTAGCATGTTACTTTTTTCCTTTCCCTTAATTCCTTAAATACTTTCTATAAATAGAACTGTACATCGCAGTTGTACTTGGATTTTGGGTTTTGTGTTCCTTATTGCCTTCATATACGTTCGAAGCCTGCAGAGTAAAACCAAACAAGAATTAAGAAATTATCAAATTGCAAATAGAGAACTCTTGCAAATAATTCAAAATAGAAAACAACAACAAAAATTGATGATATACCTTTTAAGGATAATAGCCACCTTGTCATCTCGGCTTAATGCGTGATATTGGCACGGCTCAATCGAACAGAACCGATCTCTATAAACTAAGAGCTCGGCTATTTGATTGAACCGCACTAATATCTCGCGTTACCTTACATCAAAACCAGTCTCATGACTCTCATCCAACTATTATTTCTAGTTAGCCTCCAGAAACCCAAGAAAAGAAAAAAAAAAGTAAACATCAGCAATTAAACCAAATATATCTAAAAGAAAGTGAAATATTACTTTACCGGTTAAAATAATCAGATCCTTGCAAAACTCTTAATTTCAGAGATGTCAAAGACCAAAGTACAAAGTAGAAGAATCGAAGGAGAAAAAAGAATGTAGCTATTTGCAAAGTTTATGGGACTGCAAAGTGAAGAAGAAGATATAAATACGAAGATGGTTGAAGAAAAGAGGCAAGGCATTAAATTAGACCAACAACCCCATACCAAAAAGGAGGTTGGTTTATTAAATTTGAATTGTTTCTGTGAAAACTTTTTTTTTTTCCTTCAAAATATTTGTTTATAGTGTGTTATATACTATATACCAATTCTTTCTTGCAAACCGATGATATCAAAATAGAAGTATTAATCTGAGATGAGTTCCAAGAACAAGAGTTTGGTTTTATTGTCGCAGTGGCCTAACAAAATAATTTGTATGGAAACTGTTGTCTAAGTGTAAATTTTTATGGTCTAACAACTTGAAACTATTTTAACCAAGTCGTTATGTATATGTATTATTTGATAGATAACGATAAATTAAAGGAACAAGGTTCCCACGAGCTTTCAATTTTAGTATTTATGAGGTTTGTAAGAGAAAGCAAGGCATGTTGGTGGGGTTGTGCCACTCCCAATATACATTTGAATTTCGAAATTTAATATGGCTCAACTTTCCAAATATTCTCCCTTCCTATTTATTTCTTTTCTTGTTAAGTTCCTATCATTTTTTTAATATTTCCTTAAAAAATGTAACTTTATGTTTTATTATGTTATGTACCTATAGAAAAACATATGCGTCATCGTCTTCGAAAATTCAAGAAAGTGATGATCATACCATATTGGAGTCTGTTTCTCAAAATTCATTTTTAAAGATTTTTATTTTGTCAACTACTAATATACAGTATCTTAAAGTTTTTTTTTCGTCATATCTATATATATATATATATATATATATATCTTAAAAGTTTTAAAATGTGTTTTTTATCATGTACCCATTGAAAAATTAGAAAGAAAAAAAAAACAAATTATAAAGGAAAAATGCATACAGATAATTTAATGTGAACCAATCAGAAATCATCCCAAACCACAAGGCTGATAATCCGGTACGAGAATCCGGTTCTTCAGAGTCAAACTTAAGCTCACAGAAAAGATCAAACTTTATTTTTGTTTTTCGTTACATAAGAGATCGAAAACTTCTATAATTCCCAATTTCTGATTTTGTTTTACTCTTCAGTTTAATCAAAATCGGGGGAAAAAGAAAGCCAGGCAAGCTCTCCCTCTCTGATTTCGTGATTTGGGTTCATCATATTCGTGATCTTGGGAGATGATTCAACATTCGTTTCTATTGTGTGTGTGTGTAGAATTTCGATTTTAATTTAAGCGCCATGGCTAATAGTTCTTTCAAATTGGAACACCCACTAGGTAACTTTCATATAACCTCTTCTGGATTCTCTGTTATATTTTGTCGTTGGTCATTCGTAACTAAGATCTTAGCATTCTTGTCTCTGGTCACTCAGGTACTATGAATCTTTGATTAAACATAGTTAAAAAGCTTGTTAATTGTTACTGTATTGATTCAAAAATATCATTAGTCTCTGATAGATTGGAATTATCTATCAAGAGATAAATGTTTCCATGACTAAAGCCTTTGATGCTATAACTTCTTTGCTTCTGTCTCTTTTTGTCCTGATTCTTCCTTTGTTGGTGTGTGTTTGTAATGTCAGAGACGAGACAAGCCGAGGCTTCTCGCATCAGAGAGAAGTACCCAGACAGAATCCCAGTAAGACTTTTCACATGTTGTGTAACAACATTGCATCTCTACGATAACTTTCCACTTAGCAGAGAGTGCGCATTGCAGGTGATTGTCGAGAAGGCTGAGAAAACCGATGTCCCGGTTATCGACAAGAAAAAGTTAGCTCCTTTGCACAGCTTATGAGTCATTTCTTCTCAAAGTTTAGTTTTTTTTTCCTTGATCTCTAGCCTTCTCTATCTATGAAGATAGGCTTTCTCTTGAATATCATAGGCTTATGAGATCGATATCTAGCTAAGTCGCTATGTTCTGCAACCTTTTTGTTTTTTGGTATTGTTGGATACAGGTACCTTGTGCCGGTGGATTTAACAGTGGGGCAGTTTGTGTATGTTGTCCGCAAAAGAATCAAACTGAGTGCTGAAAAGGCTATCTTTGTCTTTGTTAAGAACACATTACCTCCAACTGGTAAAAAAAAAGAAAAAAATATCTTCCCTTTATCATAGATAGATTGATATATGTTATGGTGAATGCAAGTTTTGTTTCAAAGGAAAACCTTTAGTGTTCTCTACTCAGGCTCGCCATATGTCTCTTTCCCTCGCATTTCGTGCTTGTGTCATTTTCACCTACATGTTTCCCGGAAAGCCGAGAAATGTTTGTTAGTTTGATGTGTTTCTCGTCGTTTTTGTAGCTGCAATGATGTCTGCAATCTATGAGGAGAACAAAGATGAAGATGGGTTTCTCTACTTGACCTACAGTGGAGAGAGCACCTTTGGTTTGGCTTAGAGACTCTATTCTTGAGAATCATGTGTATATATTGCTTTTTGCTTTTTATGACTAAAAGTATGTTATTGTGCTTTCGACTGATGAAATGTAAATGTTACAACCTTTTTAAAATTTGGGTTCTATCCTCTGGACTTCGCCACAACTCTCATCATCTATTTTTGGAAATGTAATACTCATGGTATATAACAGAAACTTACATCTTACCATTAGATTTTGCAAACAATAAATAATCTAGATTTTCAAGTAATCTATATTATGTTTGCGTTTATAATATTTTAAGATGTGAAACGCATGTGCAGACGCAATCTTATAGGTCTGAAACGTGTGAATAGGAGCGAGAGACGTCAAACATAGAACAAATCTTAAATCATTCGTGCCTTCGTGGGATGCACCATTTGAAACTCCAAAACACACATTTTTATAAAGAATGAAGTAATAGTTAAACTGAGAGAGGAGACAAAGAAGAAGAAGAAGAAGCAGAAAGCACATGTAAATTTTATGAAGTAGAGCTCTTCTTCCTCTGCACAAGATTCTTCATCCAATTGACACCAATAAACGCAACCATCTTAGCTCTGTTAAACCCTGCTTTGGTCTTCCCTGACTTCTTCCCGGCGGCGTCTTTCTTGCCGTTAGTGGTTTCCTCCTCCGCCGCCATCACCCCAATTCCACCGGTCCCCCATTGATCCGCCCAACTCGGTGCTTCACTCGCCATTCTATTATGATCACAATATTATTTTATGTGGAAGAAAATCTTCTTCAATACCTAGTCGCCAATGAATTCATCATGATCATGCATCTTAGAAGGAGGGGGGAAAGAAAGAGTACCTCTAATTCTTGGATCTCTTCTTGGTAAAGAGGAAAGAAACGATTTTGAATGAGCAAAATAAGTGGAAATATGGAGAGAATGGAGACACTAATAGTGGATGGGTTGTCAATTTTATTTTATTTTTGAGTGTGAATATTAGTATACTATGAATTTAGATTGTCGTCTCTTAAGCTAAAGTCTTAATATTTTAAAAACAAATATGTTTTTAAATGTGGTTGTTTGGGTTGTCTTGGAATGGACTTGCCAACTCATGTTAGTTCGTTTCCAACTTGCAAAGCAAACGTTTTTTTTGGAATCTTTCAATGTATATATAAACACCTAACCCCCATGTAATTTTTGTTTTCTGTTCGATTAATTACTCTATAATCTTGTTGTATATTACAAATAAATCCACTTAGTATTCTCACGCAATAAATTAAAGACTGGAGGTATGTGCTTTTGATACAGAAGGGCGTTTTTCTGACTTACACCAACAGAAGGGAAATGCTATAGTGATTGTTTTTTCTACAAGAATAATGCGCAACCAAAAATGAGGTTTGTTCTTTGATTATTTTCTATTTAGAAAACTTGTCCCCTACAAGTTCATCATACATAAAAAGTGTTCCTAATTTAAAAAAGGTGCTAATGAGAAATCAATCGGCTAATCCGATGAATTGGGGAATTACCTGCTTGGAACAATTAAAAGCACCTTGTATTAACTAATTTGACGCCTAGCGCCTAAATTGATGAACGACGAGTTTACACCAATAATGACAACGAAAATGAAACACATAGGCCTCTTACTGATCTAACGACTAAAATATCAGCCCATGACAACATTCAGCCCAGGATGTTTATTTTTTCCGGAGAATTACTTTAGCGCATCCACACGATAGAGTGACTTTCTTGCCTACAAAAACAACATTATTACAATATATATAGAGATCGACTATAATCAACATCAACAAATCTTTTGATTACCTGATATATCTGAGTTGCTCGTCCACTTATACCCTGCCGGTATCTCAAATGGATCCACCATTTGTTCCTCCTCCATCCGCCGCTGTGAACTATTTCCGGCAGTCGTGATGTTCATCCTCAGCCAAGACGGCTTTGAAAACGATGGTCGTGAAGTTGTTCTTTCATCGGACTTTTCGTCACTGTCCACGTCGGATTGGTCTTCGACAGCAGCTGAGAGGTGTCTCGGGCTTGACAGTGGTGTGGAGAACTCATCCATCGGCCGGAGAGCCACGAACTTGCTGAATGTGATTACTACCTTCACCGTCGGGATCACCGGTATCGACAACTGGTAAACCAAATTATAATCAGTGTCTAATTTATTTGGTTGACCGGCTTAACCGAATAAAGAGATTTTGATTTGACAAGCAAATAAAAAGCGCTCAATCTCAACATCCAACCAATGAAACTACGGCACGTCTGATTACAGTTTTACTGGCGCAATACTTACGAATGAAGAAATAAAAAAACCGAAGTGGAATTAATGAGTTTTCAAGATTGCTCCTTTTTTTACCTTGACCGGAAAAGTTCCCGCCGGGAACTTGGCGGTGAGAATCTCCCGCATCCTCCGAACGGCTTTAACGTTGTTGGCTAAAACATCGAGCATCGGAAGCAACTCCTCTGTCTTCAAAGGAAAATCATCAGTTAACCAAACGGAAGGGCTTAAACTCTTCACAAGTTCCTTCTCTTTTATCCGCGGCACAGAACAAGCCACCGGAACCGCCGCTTCCGGCAGAGAAACCGACCTTCTCCTCCTCGTCGTAGAACGCGGCTGTAACTCTTTCTCCTCGACGTTGAAACAGCTGTTCTGCCTCCTCTGCCGCCGCAACGGTTCCGAGAAACCCCGATGACTCTGTTCGTCCCGAGGCAAACTCTGCTCTGTTTCTCCGGCGACGGCAACGACTTTCCGCGATTTGAAACTGAAACTGACGTTCTCGATCTCGTAAACTTTAGCTTTCCATTCTCCGACGGTTTCGATCCTCTGTTGCCGTCGCCAATTCGTCATCTCAACGAGCTCTGCTTTCGTAACATCCATCCCTGGACGGTACAAGCTCGACTGAGAGCAAAAGCTGGCGACTTCCTTATCGCTGATCGTGTCTCCGGCGTTTTCGAAAGCGTTTAAGATCGTTTTATCGTCTCTGTTCAACACAAGCAACGTTCCGGGAGAAACGTCGAGGAACTCGTCTCCGTCGCTGAGGAAGAGAAAGCTCTGGTTCGCGCGGCGGATTTTGAGCCCGTCGAATCCGACTAAAGAAGTTTCTGCGCGTAGATCTCCGCCGCGTTTCCAGATCTTGTAAGTGTCGGAAGGAGCGATTTTTCCGACGAAAGGAATCACGGAGCTCTCGAAATGGAAAGAGATCTCCATGTAGAAATCTCTTATGCGGCGGAGGACGGCGATCAGGTGAGGCAGTCTCCGTCTCCATTTGCACCACGCAGATCGACGGTGGTGCCGGAGAATCGTCTCCGTGATCTCGGAGTTCCGACGACAAAGCGCCTCGTGCAGGGGATTCCAACCGGCGGCGTTCTGGAGCGTGATATCTGCGCCGGCGGAAGAAATCGTCTTCGCCGCGAAAACGTCTCCGATATGCACGGCCAGATGGAGAGGCGTTTCTCGGAAGGGAACGTCACGGCGATCAAGGACGGCTGAGATTTGATCGGCCACTCGTTCTTGGCTCACTGAGTCGGACTCGGTGTGGATATGGTCTGGATCGGTTAGCTTAGGCAAGGACGAAACCAGACGAGCCAAACCGGTGTGATCTCCTAAAATGACGGCATAGTGGACGGGACTATGAGCATAATCCTCTAAACTAGTGGCCGGAATATTTGCCGGCGACGACTTGGCCATATTTATTACCGGGCACTCAAGCCACTGTTATAAAGGCAATGAGGAGTTTGAATAATAACCCTTACAACAAAAATGTATGTTTCGTATTTATCTAAACAACAGTCAAAGCAAATTCAATTGCTTCCATAATTTATTGGTCAAGTGAGTACTTATTACTTTTTTTTTTGGCAACGAGTTTTGTTTTTTCTTAATATATATCTTAGATTTACCCAAATTATAATGACCTCGTAATATACAACAATTAACTGCACATAGATATGGACATAAGATTTTGACCCAAAAGATCAAAAAATGCACCTAAGATTTTGACCCAAAAAGAAAGAAAAAAAAAATTGTACCTAAGATCTTACAGGATTTATAATTTAAAACAATGTGATTCATAGAGAAAAGAAAAGTTATCAAAATATTCAAGCAGTGCAGAAAAAGATAATTAAGTATGATTGGTGTATCTTACTGTTCTTCACTATACCAAAATTTTCTATACCAAATTAAAGTGTTGCGGTCAAATATCAAGTAATGAATCATTATGGTATTGTTAAGTTAAAAAAAAAAAATTATGATATATAGTAGTAACAGTTAGAATAACATAAACGTTTTCATTTTTCTTGAAACCATCTACCTAAAATTTTTTGATGATCATTGCTGAGGTTTAAGTACGGTTTTTAGCACTCGATATGTCTTTTTCGTTTTTTGATGGAGTTGTAAGCAAATAGGTGCATAGATCTTTAATTTTGGACTTGTTTTGAACCTTCTAAATGAAGAAGAGTCTCCGTAATTTGGCTTTGTTGCTGTTGCCTGACGGGGTTCAGTATTGAGTTCGTGTCCAAACATTAACCTTGAGTCTTGCCCTCCTCTGTCATCTATCCACGCCCGAACCCGAAAAAAAATCTCAACAGAGAAAAACCCACAAAAGCTTTTGAGCTTTGGTAGTAATGGCGGGTTTGGCAATTTCACCTCCTCTCGGTCTTTCCTTCTCTTCTAGAACCAGAAACCCTAAACCCACTTCGTATCTATCTCACAATCAAAGGTACTAACTTTCACAATCGCAATCACACTCTCACACGATGTACATATGTTTGTGCTTCTGCTTCAGTTATGACCTTTTGTTTCATGTAATACATATTAGATAACCTTAAATTTCTTTTCTTTATTTGATTTTGTGTAGAAATCCTGCAACGCGTATAGTTTCTGCGCTTCCGAGTCCGTATGGCGATTCTCTGAAAGCTGGTAACTTGAAAGCATTTCGGGGTTTAGGCTTTCCTTATGTTGGAGCTGAGTTGTTTGCTGCTGAAGAGTATTGTTATAATTTCCGAAATTATTGATTTGTGTCTGAGATTTTGGTTGTGTTTGATGCTTTCAGGACTTTCGAGTAACGTTTCTGGATCCCCAATAAAGCTTGACAACAATGATCCTCTTAGCGTTGCGCCAAGGTCATCTCTTTTCCCTTCTCCCTCTTGATTACGCTCTCACCATTGAAATTGAAGTAGTTCACTGCCTGTTCCTTTCTACGACACTCTTAACTCTTCAGCTCTTCACTTTAGGTATCCAATTCTATGTGTTTCCCCTAAGCTTGGTTGTATGTTAGAGTTCTTAGTAGTAATGCCAACTGACGATTCACACCCTTTCTTATGATAATACATTTGTAAATTGGTTGATAAGATTGATTAACCTTTCTATTTTCAGTGTGTTTGAACCGATTTTGTTTCTGTGCTGCAATGTATAGATTTGGAGTGATAGAGGCGAAAAAGGGAAACCCGCCTGTTATGCCTTCAGTGATGACCCCTGGAGGACCTTTAGATCTTTCCTCTGTATTATTCCGCAACCGCATTATCTTCATTGGGCAACCAATCAACGCACAGGTTGCTCAGCGAGTCATATCTCAGCTTGTAACCCTTGCATCTATTGATGATAAATCCGACATCCTGGTTAGCTACAAAACAAACAAAAAACTTTTACTTTGTCTCAGCTGGTTTTGAAAGAAAGTCAAAAATCTCATCTTTTACTGACAAGTAATCTCTGCTTCAGATGTACTTGAATTGCCCCGGAGGCAGCACCTACTCCGTCTTAGCAATCTATGACTGTATGTCCTGGGTGAGTCTTTTTCCCTTTGATGATAACCATTACTGTCAGGCAGAAACCTTGGTACATAATTTGACCTGTTGAATTTGCTTGAAATGCTCTTTAGATAAAGCCTAAAGTTGGAACGGTGGCGTTTGGAGTCGCAGCGAGCCAAGGAGCACTTCTTCTTGCTGGAGGTGAAAAAGGAATGCGCTATGCAATGCCAAACACTCGTGTCATGATACATCAACCGCAAACTGGATGCGGAGTATGGCTCTTGAATTCCCATTGTTATTAGTTGGTATCGTATATGCGTATGTGAACTTAAATTGATTTCGGTTTATCATAATTTGTTTGCAGGGACATGTGGAGGACGTGAGGAGACAGGTGAATGAAGCCATCGAGGCCCGACAAGTAAGTCTCTGTCTTTTAGAGTTATGGAGGATCCAAGTCTTTGGAAGCTAAGAATTGAACTTTTGATCTGATTGATCTCTTTGGTTGTCTCTACGTGCAGAAAATTGACAGGATGTATTCAGCATTCACTGGACAACCTCTCGAGAAAGTGCAACAATACACTGAAAGAGATCGTTTCTTATCTGCTTCTGAGGTAATTTACCGCTGATCTCACGTCTAAGTTAATTTAGCCATACAAGTATAATACATTAACTAGAAATTCTTTCTAATGAGCTATGGCTCACCGGTATAAGAGGTTTCAAAATCAGTGACAAGTCACAACTCATGGACATTGTCTTTGTTCCTCATAATCCTTCTATACCATTGTTGAGTTTCGCATTTGATTTTTTTATTTTCCGGTTATTTTCTTATGCAGGCACTTGAGTTCGGGCTTATCGATGGTCTATTGGAAACAGAATACTAAAACAGCACAGAGAGAAGCTCATTGCAATGTTCGAACCTTCCAATTTCATTTAAATTATGAACATTTGTAACTGACATTTGTGCATAAACGAGTTTGGTTTTCTTGGATTTACAGTCTACTAAACAGAATTCCAAACTGCCTTTGTTTTTGTTGCGCGCAAATTTATATTCTATTTCGGTTTACCAACCAAAACCCGATCCAGCTTGTTTACTATTCAGTTAGGTACTTAATCCTACACAATTCTAACGCATATGTCGTTTGGGTAATGAATCTGTAACATAGAATTGTCAGAACAGGAAATGAACAATGGCAACAAAGGCGGCAGCACTGAATATTAAGCTCTCCAATAAGTGTCTCCTTTGAACGATAAATATGTCAATCACAAACCAAAATTTCATTTCTGAAGCTCTGCTCTCTATAACCCATCTGCGCCCGGACCATCACCATCAAGCCCCTGTCAAGAACATTCCAAAACATCCCAGTTTCCACTCATTAATCAATAGAAAGTAACTAATGGCTGACTCAATCAATGCCAAAGGTGGAAACTTTAGTGTGCAAAGAGTGTGAACAGATCTTCTGTCCCCATCTCTCTGTGTGTATCTGTGTGTGAACAGATCTTCTGTATATATATGTGTGTGTATGTGTGCATATATGATAATGGAAGATGAAAAACTTACCATAGTTTTGGCGCACCCATGTGAATTTGTGGATTGCCTTCAAAAGGGAACCATACCTCATATGCTTCAAAGATCCCATATGTCTATCAACACACAAATACCGGAAAAATATAAACTTTATGAGATTTTGCTCTAGAGAAATAAGAAAACCAAGAAAAAAGAGTTCAAGCGCACGTACACTATCTCAGTGTATCGAAGTCTCCAAGCAGGGAAACCAAGGTGGCTCCTTACAGGTCCATAAACTAGCAAGAGATCAGGCACGTGTACATTCTCACCTGCCAGAGTTTACATCATCAGTTTCTTGAAAAGAAGATTTAATAGTGATTTGAATTCCGTATGAGAGAATCAACACAAACCAACAACTCTTAATGCTTCGTTCAAATGAGACTCTGTAAAAACGTTTTCCCCTTTATCGTTCTCGGGATGGTTGGATATCAAGTGTTTCTGAAGTAGTATGTTGGCTGCTTTCACAACAGCTTCTTTATTGTCGGAAGACGAAATGAATTCTATAGCAATGCGCTCTCGATCAGGCGAAAAAATATTTTCACCAGTCTCCTATGAAAGAAGAAAACAGAGACAGAGCAGGTAAAGTAACAATCTAAAAAGCTCCATTTGCAGATACTTTTGTGCGATAGTAACATGCGCATTTCTTTACTTATCCATAAGGTTATTCAAATCATGAGCTAGAGAAGCTAAAGATTCGATTCATGACCAAAGAAGCAAACTAAAGGAAATGTATGTTCATCGAAATGAAAGCTATGAGATTTTCGTACCTGTAACAACATCGAACCCGGAACCATTTCAAGGATCATATCCTTGGATTTCTTCAATAAACCTAAAAGATGCCAACTTTCAGCGAACATGATACATATTGTATTTATGAACGAACAATTCGAGATAAGTTGATAAAAAGTAATTACCTTGCGAGTCAAAGAGGCCAACTTGTTTCACCCCAATGGTCGTTAGCCATTGCAAAAGCTCAATGACCTTGGAAACATCTCGAGCTACTTCGATGTCCACCACAACAGCTAGACACCGGAGCTTCTCAAGATCGATGGAATTGTACTTTTGAATCAATCCAAATGATATCGCATAGCTTTCGATTGCCTCAAAGATGCCAGAGACAATATGCCATAAGCTTACAACAATGTGTATGAAACGCCATAGCAAATCAAGACCAAGATCACCAATCTGTGGAAGACAAAATTCAACACCCATATGAACAAATGACTTAAGAATGCGTGATAAACATAAATCGACAACAGAAATCAAAGTTATGGCTTGAAGAATCAATCTCAATGCACGCTAATTTCAAATGCTCTAAGTACGTTTTGAAGTAATGATAAAGAGGTTGTTGGCAACACTAAATTGTTCCTGATCACTTAATTTCACAGGCCTTGAAGCACGAATGAACTAAAAGCCTCCCAATGATCAATAAGGAGCTAAAAACTCACTTGGCCAATCCAGGAACTCAGGAGCAGCATCGGATCATCGAAATCCATATATCTGAAAAATTTAGAAAAACGAAACACAATTACCGAAGAAGACACAACACAACCAGATAAATAAGATCGGTTGCAGCAGCAGCGTATAGACGAAATTCAAACAAGAGGGCTTTTCAGAAAATCGTTTATAGGCGTGTAAACAGAAGAATCCAGCAGAATTAACAGACACAGCAAAAAGACAGATCGAAGAGAACATAGACGCATACAAGAAGTGGATGTCTCCGTAAACAACGCTGCGTGTGTTAGGGATGCTTACAGACCAAACTTCGAATAACTCCTTCCTTTATGATCGGGATCGGAAAAAAGGAAGAATTTTGGGAGGCAAGATGAGAAAAAGGACACACTTTCGAGGATCTATTAGCCTCTGGATCAAACCCAGAATCCTATTGTTTTGTGATAGTTCGTATAAACCTTAGCAAATTAAGTGTGTTGCGAAATTAACTCTGTATCTCAGCGTCTGAGACGTCTGGGGTTCAAACTCTATCAAGTTAAGTGTATTTCTAACTTTTCTTGTCATGGTTTTGTTGTGAATCGCATTATTTTTTTCCAACATGAATCACATTTTTGTTGTTGTTGCCTCTATCACGATTTTGCTGCCATCTAGAGCTATCAAATTCACACAAGTGTGTATATATATAACAGGATAAACCAGAAAATAAGTTAACAAAACAAAAACATCTAAAAACATTTAAGAAAGAAAAATGAAAAATCTTTCCATATTTCTATTTGTTTTCACTCTTTGCATCAATCCGTTTGAAGGGATAAAGACCACAGTTATTGTCCAGAACGGACTTTCACAAAAGAAATGGCTCAGAGTAAGTTGTCTAATATTACAAACGAATCAGAGATTTGGTGTCCATTATCTAAAACCTGGCGGCAAAGATTATCAAGTTACTTTCGATGATGCCCTCTATGTTAATGATATTTTTAAATGTAGATTGGGCAAAGGATCTGATTTTAAGATTTTCAAAGATGTTGTCATGTATTCCAAGAATCCTCCATATAGATTCAAGCCTCATTATGGCACGTATACTTGGAAAGCTGAAGATGATGGGATCTATTACTTTAACAATCAACGGTTTAAAAAGCCAAGGCCTCCGTTTTATGAGAAGATGTTTGATTGGTAGATATTTTAAATAAAATCTGATAAAGATAAAGTCAAAAACCAAGTATATATGTCAAACAATAAAAAATATTAAACAATAAAGTGTTACAAATTATAAATATTAACCCATACAATTAATAGATAAGACTATGTATATTGGTTTGGTTTCAATATTCAACACCCTATTTTTTCTTTTTTAATACTTCACATCATCATCTCTCTCTTCCACCTAATAATTTAACACTCATTCAATTTTTAGTCTCTACAATAGTTCTGTTTAATAAAATTCAGTATTTTACCATACCATTTAAATAATTTATATTTTAATATATTTTTCAAAAATTAGTTTTTTTCCAATGTCCAAATTGAATAAAACAAACCTCTATTGATAGAGTACAAAAATGATGAATTTTGACATAATTTTTATTTCTAAAATTATAATTTAGTATAAATAATTAATTTCAAATAACTATGATAAAATAAAAATAAGAGAGAAAAATAGTCCATCTTCTTATATTTTTCAACATCTTCGTTAATCTAAGGCAAGGACATAAAGCGTGGGTTTTGGGAGGCAAGATGAGAAAAATGACACACTTTTGAGGATCTATTAACCTGTGGATCAGACCCAGAATCCTAATTTTTTTGTGTGATGGTTGGCATAAACCATAGCATTAACTCTGTATCAAGTCAAGTGTGTTTCTAACTTTTCTTATCATGGTTTTGTTGTGAATCGCATTTTTCTTTTTCCCAACATGAATCACAATTTTGTTGTTATTGCCTTTATCATGGTTTTGCTGCGAAGTAGAGCTAACAAAATCACACAAGTTTGTTGGAAATTTTAAACTCGAGATAATACCTAGAGCAGATAAACAAACAGAAACATAATAGATGCAGAGTTACAACAAAACCAGCCTCCTTACTTGAGATTCAGAACAAAATGCACAAATGTATTTAGTAACAGTCAAAGCGCTACAAATCAAGTGTTGCTTCTTGCTTGGTCTAGTCACATAAAATAACAGAATATATCACTGATCAGGCCACTCAAGAAAAAAAATCCTCCATCATAACAGACTCAAGAGTTATCCAGCTGCAAGTTTTAGCTTACAAAGTTGATAATACGCTACTACTTGAAATGGTGTGTGGTCGTAAGTAGGCTCTCTATTGAGTAGAGTCTTCAGAGAACCTAGCATCAAACCCGGTAGTGGAAGAATGGACAGAACCAGCAGCTGCACCAGAGCCACGTTGCAGCTCAAGCACAAGCCATCGGACCGCTCTACTCATCTGTTCGAGCCTTACTGCACTAATGGGCGGGAGACTAGTCGCAGCACCAACAGCAGCTGCTGCTGCTTGGCCTGAGTTACCAGTTGCAGCAGCAGAAGTAGTTAAACCAGTAGCCTCATCAACTAAACACTCAGATCCAATTCTCTGCTTCACCGACTCCACAAACTCCTCGGCTTGATCACAAGCCACGCGGAACAGTTCCCATTTCTCCTTGAAATTCTCCAAAGCAGCATCAGTGGGAGAAGCTTTCTGCCCACCCGCACTCTCCTTGGACTCGAGAACATTGGCTGAGGCAAGAACAAACTTCTCGTAAGCTATGTTCAATGAGTCCACCATGTTATCCATTTGATCCTCTTCTTCCGAAACTGCTAACACCACCATGTATTATTATATGAGATTTCAAGTTTAAAAACAAGAGCGAGCGCAGAAAAATCTAAATCTTAGGGCATGTATGAATCTGGGAATAAAGAAACCCTAAACTCCAAAATTCTCAATTCGTCCTCCTTAAGCATAGAGTGAGAGGAATCAAAATCTCAGGGGAAAAAAAAGAATCATAACAAAAATTACATCTTTGTGATGGGAATTTGACGAAATTGCAAATACGCAAATTGATTTCGAAAATCCAAGTCGGGGAGTAACACAACAGACTCGAATCACCCTGTTTGAGGCAAAATCACCCTGTTTGAGGCAAAATCGAAGCCCAAGACCAACGAAATCAGTCTGAGGGAAGAAGGACAGAGAACAGAAGAGTAGGAGAAGAGAGAAAGAGCAGAAAGTAGAATCTTACCGGAGATATGAACGGCGAGCCGATTTGTGCCACTGTTTACATTTTTCTTTGTATTTTATCTCGTTAGTATATCCAGAATTGGTCTATTAAGACCGGGTTTAATGGAAACCGGACAGAAGATAGACCGGATTGGTCCATTCGAGCATCATAAAAGCACCCAGATTAAAGACAACATTTTATTATTTATATAAATAAATTTTCAAATTTTCCATTTTCATCTTTGGTTTTTTTTGTTTTTTTAACCAAAGTTTACTGTATTTTTCATTTTTGTTTTGGGATCTTCGTTCTTTGGTACAATAATAGTTAACTGAATAAATAAACCTAACCATAAAAAGCTGGTTAGGTCTGGTTAGGGAATCTGAACCAAATAACAATCGGAATCGAAAACTGGAACTGGACCAAAGACGACAACCGGGGAAAGCCGGAGGCAGCCGCAAAAACTTAGAACCCGCGAAACAGAAAACCATCGCCACCGCTCAAATTCCGCCGAAACAGAAAACCTCCGACAACTGTGACAAATCCGAACACCTCCGCCACAAATCATAACACCTCCGAAACAGAAAATCTTTCATCTTTAGTTGCAAGTATATTTGTTATTTAGCGGACATTTTTGGCATATGTTATCGCTACATTTTTATATGAGATGAAGCTGCTTACGATATGTTGGTTGAAAGTTGAAACATGTTTCTTGTTTTTGGCTTGCAACTCATGTCATATATGTGAGTAGATTCAAATAGTAGATTCTAGCTATTGAAACTGGTATTAGAACACCAAAGCTATAATATATTCTTAGATTGATATGAAAAGAGGAAGAATAGAGTTGTACAAAATGGCAACTCCCAAAATTAACTTTTCTTGATGCATGTGTTCATTACATCCATGAGAAATATAGCTCCAAAACAAATAAATTTTACCAAGTGATTTTCGGTCTAATAGTTCTTATAAGAGAAGAGATCCCTAGTTCGAACCAAAAGCTGTCTCCAGGCTCATTGAGACTGGCTGAGGCACGAATTTTGAGGTGAATAAAAAAAAACAAAGAAATTTAAAACTTTGTCAAGGATAAGTAACTGGAATCATATATCTACGATATATCATCACGAAAATCAGTATTATTCTTATATTTCTGGTTTCTGTAAGGTTCCCTCTTATGTTGCTCTGGTGTTACTAAACCTTTACTTTGGGTTATTTTGATAGTTTTTTCCACTATAAGAAGTTTTTTCGAACACAAGAAACTGATATTATTGAAAAAGAAAATTCGGCCAAAACAATCTCAAACTTTCCGTTTTTTGCCAAAAAAGCAAGAATTATCAGTTTAGCTAAATAAATACTCAACTTTTGTTGACTTCCACAAATAATAACAAACTTTTTGTTGACTTGTCAAATCAACTCACCGTTTATAAAGTTAGCAGAAAATTTAAACATTGATAACTTTGCTGTTACTATTAGGGTTAACTAAAACGACGTCGTTTTAAAAATCTGCGATTTTAAAATTTTTTGCTTTCACCTGGGTTTGAACACACGACTTCGGATGCATAAGGATACTTCTGGCACTAGGCCAATGACAAAGCTATTGTTCCGAAAATAATTTGATACCTCAACTATTGATAGAAAGCTTCTAATAATAGAGCAACACAAAGAATATGTAAATTTAAAAATAGCAAATTACACACTACACATGTGTATATGTATAACATTGTAAAACCAGAAAACAAGTTAACATCTAAAAACATCTAGAAATAAAGATGAAAAATCTTTCTATATTTTTATTTATTTTTGCCCTCTGCATCCATCCATTTGAAGGGAGCGAAAAAAGAATCTATATCAGGAACAGTCTTGCATACAAGAAATGGCTCAGGGTACATTGTGAATCTAGGAGTATACGAATACAAAATCTGGGTGTCCATTATCTGAGACCTGGCGGAAATGATTACCATTACAGTTTCCTGAATAACGCCTATAGACCGGTCCAAATCGTGTGTAAATTGAGCAAAGGAGCTGACTATAAGATCTCTAAGGAGTTTGTCGCCTATCAACAGACCCGTTCTACGGAAGCTGATGGTAGTCCATTTTATAATTACCAAGCTAGAGATGATGGGATCTATCACAGTACTTTAGCGAGTCCTAGTCTTAAAAAGATTTATAATTGGAACTAGAGATCCTAAATAAAATCTCTCTATCTCTGTTGCTTGTGTTATCAGAAATATAATATACTATTTTTTAACATTATTGAATTAAATATAAATATTTGTAAAAAATCACTTATAAATACCAGTGATATACTTGTAACAAATCACTAGATTCCCAAAGAGAATAGACACAAAGCTGTCATCAGATCCTCACTGAGAGACTAAGGTCTAGGTAAGAATTTTGTGGTAAACAAGAAAAAAACAAAAACAAAGAAGTTTAAAACTTTGTCAAGGATATATATGTCACTCAGTTCAAAGATCTACGACACATCATCACGTAAATCAGTATTATTGTTCTATGATTTCTGTAAAGTTATTTTTATGTTTTTCTGGTGCTTCTAGACATTTAATTTGGGTTATTCTGATGATTTTTTTCACCCTAAAAAATGTTTTCGAATTTTTTTATCAGAAATTTTCACTGACTTATAAATATCAGTGATATACTTGTAACAACTTATTCTTATTTATATTTCATTGAATTTTCAAATTTATGTTAGTACTACTATTAGAACCCGTACAATAAATATTAAAGAACATAATGTTTTAAAAAAAATCTGTCACAATTAAACGATAAAGCAAGGACACAAAGTCTAGGGGATTTGATGTCCATAAATGTCTGTAACTGCTCGCTCTAAGTGACTCAAAGTCAAAGGTGAATCTTACCATCTCAATGGTAATGATAGGTTGTAAGACAGAGAGTCCACGAGAGAGGAGAAGAGCTACGCTTTCAAGATAATACGCAATTGCTTTCGAAAACCCCAAGTCGGAGTAACAATAAAGACTCGAAAGGTTTTATTTTTTCTTATCACGGGACAGAATCACCCTGTTTGAGACAAAATCGAAGCCCAAGACCAACGAAATCAGTCTGAGGGAAGGACACAGAACAGAAGAATAGGAGAAGAGAGAAACTTACCGGAGATATGAACGGAGAGTCGATTTGTTTGTGCCACTGTTCATTACATACATGAGAATTCAAGCTCCAAAACAAATTAATTTTACCAAGTTATTTTGGTCGAATAGTTCTTATGGGAGAAGAGATCCCTAGTTCGAATCCACTTATGAGAAGACGGAATTCCCGAAGAGAATAGAAAAAAACCTGTCTGGAGCTCCTCACTGAGACTAAGGTCTAGGCAAGAATTTTGTGGTAAATAATAAAAAAACAAAAACAAAGAAAATTTAAAACTTTGTTAAGGATATGTCACTGAGTTCAAAGATCTACGACAAATCATCACGAAAATCAGTATTTTGTTTTATTTATGGTTTTTGTAAGGTTCTTTTTTATGTTTCTCTGGTGTTTCTAGACATTTAATTTGGATTATTCCGATGGTTTTTTCCACCTTAACAAGTCTTTTTGAAATTTATTGGTCAAAAAAATCCAATATTATCAAAAGGTATAAACCACATATTTTTAAAAAAAATCCACCATAAATCTATTGTTTTGAAAACGAATTGACACCTCAAATATAAATAGAAAAATTATAATAATAGAATATCACAAAAATGTGTATTCAAAAATAGTAAAATACACATGTATATATATATATAACCAGAAAACAAGTTAACAAAACAAAAACATCTAAACAGAAAAATGAAAAATCTTTCAGTATTTCTATTTGTTTTCGCCATTTGCATCAATCCATTTGAAGGGATAAAGACAACCGTCGTCAGTTCAAAATGGCCTTTCACAAAAGAAATGGCTCAGAGTAGGTTGTCGAATAATACAATCGAATCATCAGTTTGGTGTTCGTTATTTGAAACCGGGCAAAGATTACCAAGCCACTTTCAACGATTGGAACTTAACATGGCTTATTTATCAGTGTAGAATTGCCAAAGGATCTGATTATAAGATCTTGTTGGACGTTGTCCTTTATTGGAGGGAAAATATGCAAAAACGGAGGCCTCATTATGGCACGTATACTTATAAAGCTCAAGATGATGGGATCTATTTCTATCAAAATCAATTTGATCACACTTCTAAAAGGCCAAGGCCTCCGTTTTATGAGAAGAGGTGGAATTGGTAGACATCTTAAATAAAATTTGATCAAGACAAAGTCAGAGCCATTTGACTATTCTTCAATATTCATTCCCTTTACATGATTTAGTTTTCAAAATTTTTGAATAATTGAAAACTTAATCTTCTCATAGATATATGAGCATATTCCCACTTATTGTTTTGTAGGAATCAATGATGAGAATTCCACTTTTTTGCTTCAGTATTGTAATAGCCTTATTTAAGAATTGTGAAGAGAATTATGAATTAAAGCGGACAATTATTCTGCAATCTATTGTGCTTGTTAAACATTTATTCTCTCTGTTTTAACTTTTCAAAATATCTCTCTTGCTTGTGTTTTCAGAAATTTAAAATATATTACCTTAATAATCGCCCATCTAAAAAGCTAAGACCTCCGATTTATGAGAAGAAGTTTGATTGGTATAGAGATATCCTAAGTTAACTCTGATCAATACAAAGTCAAAGCCATTTGACTAATTTTTCAATATTCATTCTTTTTTCATAATTTATTTTTCAACTTTTTTTTTAATAACTGAAGACTTAGTCTTCTCGTAAATATATGAGCATATTCTCATTTCTTGTTTTGTAGGAATCATGAGAATTCCATTTCTTTGCTTCTTTATTGTTAATAGCTGGAGAGAATTATGAATAAAACCAGACAATTATTCTGCAATCTCTTGTGTTTATTAAATATTTATTCTTTCTGTTTTAACTTTTCAAAATCTCTCTCTCGCTTGTGTTTTCAAAATTTCAAATATATATATATATATATATACTGTTATTTTTAACATTATTGATTTAATAATATTTCTGTAAAAATCACTGATATACTTATAAATATCAGTGATATACTTGTAACAAGTCATTCTTATTTATTTCACAGAATTTTAAAATTTATGTTAGTACTAGCCAGTATTACAACCTGTACAAAAAATATTAAAGAATAAATTGTTTAAAAAAAATAAACAATAAGGCAAAGACATAAAATGTGGGTTTTGATGTCCATAACGTATATAACTGCTAAGATTATATATCTTATGAATTTTCTGCTCGCTCTAAGTGACTCAAAAGTCAAAGGTGAATCTTACCATTTTCATGGTAATGATAAGTTGTGAGGCAGAGTCCACGAGAGAGGAAAAGAGCTTAGCTTTCAAGATAAATAGTTGATTAGCTGCAAAAGGAAGATAAGATTTAGCTAATACAAACCCTAAACACTAGAAATATCTTTTTTTTTTTCTTTGCGTTTACAAAAGATGGATCGATGCAGAAGAAGAGAGAGATATAGAGAGAGAGGTATGGAGACTTTAGCAAACCTAAGATCTCAAAACTGTAACATGCGGTTCGAACCAAGAGTTCTAAACTCTTACATGTGTTGTATTTTTTCCACCTTTTGATATATTTTTCTAATTTTTTATTATTTCTGCATTGGAACATTATTTATATTCGTAAAATCAAGTTTTGATATTCCTATAATGTGTAAAAAGTGTATCAAGTAGTATTTATACATGAGTTTTCAACTATACATAAATTAGTTTTTTTTTGTTAAACTTTAAACTTCATTAACTAAAAAAATATCGTATAAGAGAGCTCGAAAAGCTTCCTTAACTACATAATCCGCCACGATATTAAGAATCCGGGGTACATAAATTAGTTAATTGTTGATAAAAATAGTGTTTTACCTATAGTTCAACTGTATGTTCAAGCTCTGATAGATTCTTCATGGATTAAAATAATGCAATTAGTTATAAATATCATTGTTTTGTCTGAGTTATGTGTTTCAAAGTTATTTATTATTCCTGGTGTAGATATATATATATATATATATACTGTATGTATTTTCATAACTAGGCCACACTTAATTTGTTTTCCTTTTATTTAGTCAATCAAAATCTAACAAACACTATATATAAAAACACCAAGTTACAACCATCATATTCAACTATAAATACTTTCCTTCAAATCCAGAACAAACCAAAAAAAGAAATAAGAAAAACCTTTAACTATTACTAACGAATCCTAATATTGGCCAAAGATAAGGAATGTAGCTAAAAATTCAAGAACCCATGTACTGTATATATTCCACATGAAAGTTCAAACTAACAAAAGAACATCAGAAAAAAAAAAAAAAAAAAACAATGAAGCTCCTTTGCTTGATCTTTGGTTTCTTCGTCTCTACGTCTCTTGCCGCCGAATCTTCGAACTCAATCTACCAAAACTTTCTTCAATGCTTCACAAACCAAACACGCGCTCCTCCTAGCTCATTAACCGACGTCGTTTTACCACAAACCGCACCCTCCTTCACCTCTGTCCTACGCGCTTACATCCGAAACGCGCGTTTCAACACCTCCGCGTCTCCAAAACCAGCGATCGTAATCGCGGCGCGTTCCGAGGCTCACGTCCAAGCCGCCGTTGTCTGCACCAAATCGCTAAACTTCCTCCTCAAAACTCGAAGCGGCGGCCATGACTACGAAGGCATCTCCTACCTCTCTAACCTCCCTTTCTTCGTCCTCGACATGTCCAACCTCCGTAACATCACCGTCGACGGAGACTCCGCCTGGGTCGGAGCCGGCGCTACACTCGGCGAGGTTTACTACAGAATTTGGGAAAAAACCAAAACCCACGGCTTTCCCGCCGGAGTTTGCCCCACCGTCGGCGCCGGAGGTCACATCAGCGGCGGCGGTTACGGTAACATGATCAGAAAGTACGGACTTTCCGTCGATTACGTCACCGACGCCAAAATCGTTGACGTTAACGGACGGATTCTTGATCGGAAATCAATGGGAGAAGATCTGTTTTGGGCGATTAGAGGCGGAGGCGGAGCCAGCTTCGGCGTCATCCTAGCTTTCAAGATCACACTCGTCCCCGTTCCTCGAACCGTCACCGTTTTCAGAGTAGAGAAAAACTTGGACCAAAATGCCCTCGACATGGTCCATAAATGGCAGTTCGTTGCGCCCAAGACCGATCCAGCTCTCTTCATGAGGCTATTGTTACAGCCCGTGACTCGCAACAAAATCCAGACCGTTCGAGCATCTGTCGTGGCTCTGTTCCTCGGAAACTCAAGCGATGTCTTGTCTCTGCTTACCAGAGATTTCCCTGAGCTCGGTTTGGTGAAAGAGAATTGCACGGAGCTCACTTGGATACAGTCTGTGATGTGGTGGGCGAACAACGATAACGCCACGCAGGTTAAACCCGAGATTCTACTGGATCGGGACCCGGATTCGGCATCTTTCCTGAAACGGAAATCGGATTACGTGGAGAAAGAGATCACAAAAGAAGGGCTAGATTACTTGTTCAAGAAGATGGTCGAAGTTGGGAAAATCGGTTTAGTGTTTAACCCTTACGGAGGGAGAATGAGCGAGGTGGCTGCGACGGAGACTCCGTTCCCGCACAGGAACAAGCTTTACAAAGTCCAGCATTCGATGAACTGGAAAGACCCGGGAACAGAAGCTGAAAGCAGTTTCTTACAACAAACGAGAAGCTTCTATAGCTACATGGCTCCATTTGTGACCAAGAACCCTAGGCACACGTATCTAAATTACAGGGATCTGGATATTGGGGTTAATAGCCATGGCCCGAATAGTTACAGGGAAGCAGAGGTTTACGGGAGGAAGTATTTCGGAGAGAATTTTGATCGGTTGGTGAAAGTCAAAACTGCCGTAGATCCGCAAAACTTTTTCAGAGACGAACAGAGTATACCTACCTTGTCTAGCAAGCCATCTGGACATTAGTTTTTGCAGCAATGTTCATGAAAGCGCTATGCGCTAACGCGGGAGGCGACCAAGAGACTAAAACAATATACTATCTAAAATTCTTGTTACTTTTCAAAACTTGTAAATTGTAATACACGATATACTAATTGATGTTTCTCTTTTTTGGTAATAATACAATTGTTTTCACAACGGCCTCGAGTCTCAAAATTTCAGCAGATAATTAACCCGCTATTGTATGAATCCTACTATAGTTCTGGTCGAATCCTACATAGTGAAGAGCTTCTATGGCCCTAACAACATTGACATCTAAAAATCTTGAAACAAAAGAAGAAGAAGAAGGGGCTGCTTCTCAAAACCTTCTGGCTCGATGCAAATACAGATAATTTGCAGGTGAATTCCGGCAACTCAGAAAACTTGCCTGATGTTTATGTTTATCCTCGAAGTTTTGATGTACTCTGCGAAAAAATGTCCACTTTCATGGGAAAGTTCTGATTCAAGTGCGCCAATTTCCGAATTTTCTTCGTCCGTGAAGATACGAGGTACGCCTGCAACATCAGCGGATATATCTCAGACCAAGCAGAGACAGAATATGGGGAAATCTGGAAATAAAGTAGGTTACCGTGATAGCATTCCCTGGCTTCTCCAGCCATTAGTACAATATCTCCACTTCTGAGATACATAGCATGAGGAGGATCTTCTTTTGATTTTCCACCTAAGAGAAAAATAGCTTTACATCCAAGGCTGCGTAAGAAGGAAGGATATACAATTACTAAACTGCGCTTAAAAATATATACACGGTATTACTTTTTGTTAAGAAACAAGGCAAAGAGATATACCTAATGCTCACTATGGGTTTACTCCAGTCAGCTTCCATGTCATCAAGGTGGCCTCCAAGGGTATCACCTAAAGAGTGCGTTTTAGAGGCTTATCAAAGTTAAAGCAACCTATTTGAAGCAAGAGATAGCAAAGTAACTTTACCTAAGCCAAAATAGTTTACAATCGCAGCCTCTGGACGGAATTCCTCCCCGGCAGGCATTGCAATGGCGGCGTGCGTCTTAGCTAGTTGACAGAGTGCATCAGGGATGTTGTTATGAGGGAGAGAAACATCATAGTTCCGCTGGGGAAAAAGAAAAAAAGAGGCGAAAGAATCAGCATTTACTCTAGCTTGCAATAGATGCTAATATCACATCAAAAACAAGTTCCAAGATTTGACCTTGGACCAATCAAATTGTAAACCGAGGGTGCTCCATCGAAGCTTCCTTAAAAGACTTGAAGCGGGAACTGATTTGCAACTTCTTCGTTTTGCTTTTTCAATATCTTCTTCACCATCATAGAACTTCCACTTGTTGTTGTTGTTGATGCAAGTTTCAGATGTAGGATCCTCCTGAACCAATACCTTGTTCGCTTTAGCTGAATCAAACAAATCAGAAACGGGACCATAAATTGCATTGTGATTTGTTCTGTTTGGAGGCTGCGGGAAATTCGTCAAGCTCTCTTTAATCCATTTGCATTGCTCCTCTAAACTCAATGCTCCAGGGATAAAGTAAAACCCTGCATAAAAAAATAATCTCACTTCCATAAGTTTCTACATTCCAACATTGCAGGCAAAAATCTTCATACCCAGATCAGAATTGAAGTGCAAAAGCTGAGTCTTTTGGATCCTAAATCAACCCAGAAGATTTGAAATTTGGGTGATTTTGACTTACCGGGGCGATTCTCGATGCAGAACACCGGGGAATCAGCTTCAGCAACCCTAATTCCGTCCGGCAAGACACCATTCTTGTTGAAATCTTGTAAAATCAAATCAAAATCGAGCAACGCCGACAAATCAACCGGTTTTGGAAGCTTCTTCCTGCGAATTCAAGTGGAATATAAGCGGGGAGGATACAACAAACGCCAGTGAATGGGAGATAAAACAAATTGTGCTTACTTTCTAGAGAATTTAGAATCCTGTTCATAATAAAGCTTGTATTTTTTCTCTGCTCGCCGGAAAGCCGTACGATCTGCTTCCTCAGAGACATTCGCCGATTCGTACATCTTCACCAGTCGACGATTAATCTCCGGCTCGGGAGAAGAAGCCGAGTTTACAGTTATAATAATTTTTTTTTATTGCGTATTATATATTTCTCAAAAATAAACTAATTTTTTAACTTCGGATAAAAAGCAGTGGTCTGCCATAAATTCCTTTTTAGACCTGTTTTGACAAAGCTGGACTTATCAACCCTGCATTTCTACTTGTAGTATTGAAAGTTTGAAACATAATCAGATTTGGGCGAAATTTAAAGCAACAAAAAAACCAATATAAAACAATTTCACCTAAAAATGACTGACAAATTATATACTAAAAGTGTCATTTGACAACTTAGTTTAGTTTAACAATGCAATTACTAAATTGCTTTAAAACTTACTTTGTTAAATTCACAAAATACAACCGTTTAACTAATTTGCTATATAGTATCGAAACACCTCATTTAAATTAAAACATAGGAATAAAATTGGTTTTAGCAAACAAAGACTTTAAATAGATGTAGTAACAAAATAATGTACACCAAATAAACTACCTTTTTTATTATGAATTTAGATCCAAAACTTTATGAATTAACAAAACAATATATGGATTTGAAAAAAAAAAAAAAACTTTTGAATTCTTAGCAACTAGTAGAATGCAAAGATCCATCGTTTCTCCTTAGCATCGAGAGAATTCATTCGCCGATTTTGTCTAATGCAAGTCTAATTGACTTGGCATCTAGTTTTAACCGAAAGCATCTAGTTTTAGTGCATTTTTTTGTTTTTTTGTTTTTTTTTTAAGTTTTCAATAAGTTTGAAAGAAGTAATTGCAATTAAATTTATTTTATTTTTTTAGAAAGGAAAAAACCTATTATCATTAGTGAAAACTATTGATATATGTCATTGCATTGCTCCTAATATATCAATTTAAAAGGTATACAAAAGAATTCTAAATTAAATGTCTCAATTACTTTTCAACATTATTACATATCCATGCATTATCAGAGCTATTTAATGCTGACAGAAAGATGAAATCTATTTCTTTTTTTGTCGGCCAACTTACGGAACTAATTAATATATATAAAAAAAAAATATATATATATATATAACTGTGTGTGTGTGAATGTAAGTAGCGTCTTGCAAGTGTGGACCTTTCCGTCTGCGTTTGCTCATCTTTGCAAGACCTTCCAGAAATGCAAAAAAAATCAGACTTTCTCTTGTGACTTGATGATGTTATCCTTATGACTCTCTATTCTTTCTTACCAAACCCATCTTTCCTTTGACACTTTTGTTGACCTAATTCCTCCAAATTTCTCCTTCACATTGCCCGATTTAGTCGTCTGCAAAAAAATCTCCCAACTTTTTCTATGGCTCTGAGGTGTTTCCCCATTTGGGTTTGTCCACAAACGACTCATCTCTCTCCTCTGGTGGGTCTCGATGCTAAACGCCGTCGTTTCTGCGTCTCGTGGGAGTGCTCCTCCTCTGCTTCACAGAACGCCGTCACTGCCATTGAAGGCGAGGTTCCGTACGGACGTGAGCTCGAAAATCCATCTGATGCAGTGAGCCTGAGTCAGGAGACCGAGTCGGTTACTTTTCACAGAGACTTGAGTATGCTTCCTAGTGAGTCATCTCATCTCGTTCCTTCTCTTTCACACACTCAGTTTCATCGACGATTTTGATCGACAATGTTGTTTTATGTGGTCACGTGGAAATGTTGATTGGTTTCTTGTGTTTATTCGATCACCCACTTCGAGAATTGTAAATTTAGGGGCTTATTTAGCTGTTTTTTATTTATTTGTGGGATCATTTGTTTAAGCAGATGAGAGATCATTGCATGTAATATATACATACGGTAAGAGATGCTGTGGATCGTTCTAGAATCTTTGTCTCACATTCTTACCAATAAGCCTGGAATTTGTCAGAAGAGATAACCATGATCATGTCATTGCTTGGTTTTACAGAAAGTCTTTGCTTGTTTCTCTTATATTTGATTACAATCGTATTAAGTCCTCTGAACGGCTGATTCTAAGAGTTGTTTCGGCTGTTATGGATACGCCGACATGAGTGCTAAGTTATGCAAGAATGGTGAATGTCTTTTTGACATTAGATTCCTTCTTTTACCATATTAGGAGCTGCACTTTATATATCAGGTTCGGTCTTTCTTAGTCTCGTAAATGAATCATTGATTGTCATTTGCATTGCAGCATAGGGTTCTCGCTATACAGTCGTATCGATCTGTATAGAAAATGGAGTACTTGATATGCTTTGTTAATGATAGATTTTTTTCCATATTAGTAGCTACATTTGATGTTTCAGATTCGATCTTTCTTGTTGTGTAGTCTCATAAATATATCAATCATTGTCCTTCGCATTGCAGCATAGGGCTTGCTAGATGTGTATCTGTATCGAAAAGAGAGGACGTGATATGTTTTGTTAATCCAAGATTCCTTTTTCTATATTAGTAGCTGCATTTGATGTTTCAGTTTCAATCTTTTTTGTTGTGTAGTCTCATACATATATTAATCATTGTCCTTTGAATCGCCGCATAGGGCCTGCAACGGCACGTGTATCGATCTGTATTGAAAATAATGAATCAATCATTATCATTTGTATAAAATAATAACGAAAAGTATTATGAAACTCAAATGCATTGTCTGTCATATCCTCTTAACTATCGAACTTTTTACTTTGTTTTTATCTGTCCCCATTGCAAGCCCTAACACTTAAAGTTGATTACAGAACCACTAACTGCAAACAGTCTTTACTCTTCTGCTGGCGATGATTCAAAAGTGCGAATTTCGTTTCAGGTGAGATATTACTTTCCTCACCTAAATGCATATCTGTGTCTCTCTTTCTTTTAAGTTGCTAGTGTTTACATACACTCTCTAATTGCAGGGCATACCAGGTGCATATAGCGAGACAGCAGCACTAAAAGCATACCCAAATTGTGAAACCGTGCCATGTGAACAGTTTGAAACTGCGTTCCAGGTTTTGATTTATTGGCCACCTCTAATATATTCATACCCACACAAAAAAGTAGGGTGCTTTACTATGCTTTTATATGATTGATTCTTCAGGCTGTGGAGCTGTGGTTGGTGGATAAAGCAGTATTACCTATCGAGAACTCAGTAGGTGGTAGTATCCACCGTAATTATGATTTGCTTCTTCGTCATAGGCTTCACATTGTCCAAGAAGTCCACATGCCTGTGAATCATTGTCTCTTAGGAGTGCCTGGTGTTAAAAAGGAAGATATCAAATGCGTTCTAAGCCATCCTCAGGTTTTTCTGGTACCATTTACTTCAGGCGCTTCTAAAGTTCATTGATGTTGAGTACTTTTTTTCTTTCTCTCAGGCTCTTGATCAATGTGTTAATTCACTCAACAATTTAGGCATACAGAGAATTTCTGCAAAAGACACTGCAACTGCTGCTCAGGTGACAGCTCGGGATAACGAGTTTTTAAAGTTCAGTTCACATAAAGGATTTTACTTCTTAGTTATTACCTTGGTGAACTAATCGAACATTAAGCGTTTCTTCAGACTGTTTCTTCAAGCGGTAAGAGGGACGTAGGAGCAATCGCAAGTGTACGGGCTGCAAACATATATGGTCTAGACATTCTTGCCGAGAACATACAAGTAATTATTCTCCATCCTAAATTTGTTTCCTCGTATATATAGCAACATATTGAAATGCTCATTATTGGATAGAAAGTTAAATCATTTATGACATAAAAGGAATGTGATTGAATATATCAATTATCCGCAATCTCGACGTTGATGTTTTCTTCTTTCGGCTGTTTTCAGGATAATGCTAACAATGTGACCCGCTTTTTGATACTTGCGAGAGAGCCTATGATTCCAAGAACAGATCGACCATATAAGGTAATAATAATTGCATCTTTATAGACTAACAAAACCTGCCTAAACTTATAATTTCCAATAGTAATGCTTCTGTTTCTCTCAGACAAGTATCGTGTTCTCGCTAGAAGAAGGTCCTGGTGTGCTGTTCAAGGCCTTGGCTGTTTTTGCGTTAAGAAGCATTAACTTATCCAAGGTAAGTTCCGAGGAAAAGTTGAATACTATTATCTGTAAAACATTCATAAAGCAGGAATATATGACGTAGCTTTTACTTTTCTTTAGATAGAAAGCCGTCCTCAGAGACGAAGACCGCTACGAGTAGTTGATGGTTCTAACAATGGAAGCGCCAAGTAAGTACTTTTGCTAACACACATCACGAAACCATTATTGTTTAGAAATAGTTTTCTTATTGTTTTGTGATGATATTGATAACAGGTATTTTGATTACTTATTCTACATTGATTTTGAAGCTTCCATGGCTGAAACACGTGCTCAGCACGCCCTTGGTCATCTACAGGTCCCAGTTCTTGCAAAACCCCAGAGCTTTTGTGGCCGGTCTTAAAGTCTAACCGTATCTAAAGATCTTGCCTTTCGGTTTTGCAGGAATTCGCAAGTTTCATCCGTATCCTTGGGTGTTATCCAATGGATCTAGTCAGATAACCGAGGAAAATCTCCAATTGATTTCATGTTACCTTACCGTGCAGAAACATGTGAATATACCCAAACAGAAGAACCAGGTTTGTGGCTTTGGTATACCGCAGGACTTTTCTTTCACCATTTTCTCATCATAGAAGTTCAGCTTCAAACTCTTCATTGCTGAGACAAAAACAGTTACTCTAGCTTATTGTTAAGAAAGTTACTTTAGCTTATTGTTAAGAACATGTTTTGTACATTAAACAGGTTTCTCAGTAAAGTTCAGTGAATAACTTGCTAACTGTCTAAAACCAGACCCTGTGATACCATACATATCTCGTCTAACATTTGATTAGTCTCATAATCATCATTACAAAAGCTGGCGCCTTGACATAAGATTGATCTTTCAGTTCTAATCAGGAAATGAGGCCTTACCGTAAAAGAAAAAAAAAAAATACTAAACTAAAACCAAGATACCACCAAAAATACAGTTTTTTAATCCTTCGTCACTGAAGCTCCACATGGGAAAACGGAACTTCGAGCTCCGATTAGTTTGACCTCATTTTGGCGAAAGGGTTAAAAGAAGACCGAAATGATCGCTAGGCAACACTGGAAGCTCTAACTTCTTGATCTCACCCCTCACCTTCTTCTCTTTCACATGGGATAAACCAGGAATCGCCTCTTTCCCAACCATCTCGATTCCGCCAAGCTTGTAATCATCCAGACGACACAAAATCCGGTCTAACCGTTTCTGCAACGTTCGGTTACCAGACAGCATTGGGTTTGCTTTCGTGTCGTATGTAAAACCGGAATCACCTGGTTTCAAAACCTCCCAAACATCAACCCATTTGTCTGGCAAAGGAAACTTCCCATCTAGCTTGTCATCCCAGTTCATGTCTCCCCCGAATATCACGTTGGTATTAGCTCCGAGAATCTCGATCGCCTCTCTGGCTTGTTCAACGCGTTCTTGGCTAAACATTTGGTCCCATTTTGGAGGACCTGGACAGGGACTTTCGAGATGGCTTGTTGCCAGGACAAGTGGCTTTCTCCCCGGAACTTCAACCTCTGCAACAGATAATTCTCTTCCCATTATCGAGTTCCTAAAGCTTTTGCAGCTGAAAGATTTCACCCCCACCTTGCTCAACTGCAAATTACCGATAAGGGCCAGTTACAAAATCACAAGAATTCGCCAAATTTTAGAAGCTAGGAGCCAAGACAAGCGTGGACAATCTTTACCAGCATGCAGAAGTAGGCTCTTGATTGTGCCACATCGAATGAGACAGAACAAGAATACGCTTTCCACCAGTTCGACTTGCTGAAAATAACATATATCTCAGGAGTAACTTCCTACAATACCACATATAAGAGCATGTCAGAAACCTGAGCTGCAACTAAATTTGGCAGATATAAATCACTATAATGGCAAACTCAAAAAATGACCTGAAAACATATGAGATGAGGAGAATGGAGCTGGATAAGGTGGCCAATCGCTTTCATCCGAAGATTCAACTCAAGATCTTCGCGGAACCAAACATTGTAGCTCAAGATCTTCAAGCAAGAGATAAGTGTTCCTGATTCAGAAGCTACCCCTACAAACACAAGAGTAACAAACACAAAGTAAAGACTTTAGCATCGAGGATCAATAGAAAGCAACCATTAGCGATACATCATCAAGAGCAGGAACTTCGCAAAAAACAGTAACAATTAAAAAACCCATATCAAGCCAAGTTTTGGTGAAACACACAACATCACAGCAACACAGGTCACAGGCTCGTATCTTGAACAGATGTTTCAGGTATGAGCCACAATGTAGATCGATTAATCCCAGGAAAAAAAAAATCACAGAACCTAAAAACCCGACCTTTCGTATCAATCTCTTTGTTCTTCTTCATGAGACCCAGCGATTCAGAGCGAGCAACAGAACCACCATCAACCTCGATGACGTCATCATCCATGGCCTTGCGCTTGCTACACCGCCGGAGAGGAAAGAAAACAGACCCGACGGAGCAATCAGGGTTGTTGTTGTTGTTATTTTCGAGACCGGAATCGGTCAGTTCGTCAAAGCCCAGGAGAGAAGACGAAGGCGATCGCGTGCCGCAGATATCGCAGAGTGAGTTCTTGTACGAGTTCAAAAAAGTGCAGCCTTTGCACGCCCATTTTGGTTCATTGTTCGAGGAAATTGAGATGGAAGAAGGGACAGATACGGGAGTCAAGCAGATCATACACTTGAGTTTCTGAGACGGAGAATTGAGGAAAGTACATTTGTTGCATGACCAAGAGGACGAGGAAGACGATGACGACATTGCAAGAGTTGTGAGGAGTCGGAGAAATCGGGTTGTTGACATTTGCCCTAATTGGCAAATTGACTTTTTAAAGTCTCGATTTTGACTTTGTAACCGATTTCCATCTAACGGAGACGCCGCCGACGTTCATTATCGATTAAAAAATGGTTATCAAAATCAAAAGGTGAACCTTAATTAACCGAAATCATGGTAATAAACCGAACCCAAAGCGAATAAACATTAAGGAAGACAGATTTTATTATACAACATATTGCCGCAACAAACAAAAGAAACAATACAAAGACTAAAATAGTCTACGAATTACACAACAAATTACAAAATTTTGATAAAATACAATTGAAACTCAAACCGTGGAAAAATGATTAATCACCAGAAGGGTAACAACATAGAAGTTACAAGAATCATAATACTGACGCAGAAGCATCTTGAGAGACTCCTTGAGGAGGCTTCGCCGGCGGCAACTTGAGTTGAATTCACCACCGTCTGTGTTCGATTTCCAACCTTCTTGCTGCACAAAATGAGGTAAGAGCAAGTAAAGTAAAAAAGAAAATACAGAGTTTATAACGTTTAGAAACATAAGAAACAAGTTTCCAACGCGAAAACTTTCATACCTTCCTGGAAAAATGCAGCTTCCATGACCTGAAAAACGTAGCGTTTTCTCGATTTAGAAACTTTTGTAATGAAAACCGTGAAAATAAGGAGAAACTTTGAATCTACTAATCTAGTTAACACAAAAGTTTTGAACTTTTGGGGAACTTGGGACAATTTTCACAACAAGGATGTGATCTTTATAAATATTTGCTTACTAGAGCCAGCTTGCTTGTAACCCAAAGTATATTACATGAAAAGAGAAGACTTGAACATGAATGAGAAGGTACAAGCAAGCCAACGATATTTCCTAAGATATCACACTAGATACCCTTGGAATTCCAAAAACAAACAGGCTTTTATTGAAGGTGATTCAATATTCGAGATCTTGGTGCATTAACAACCACATTTCGAGTTTCATGAACAAGACGACCTTCGTTTGAGAAACTAGCTTCTATGTACTATGTAATATGACTGCAAAGTTTTGCTATGATTACTGGTCTACAACATACTATATGCTTACATCGAATAATAGGAACCAAACCGGGAATGCAAAAATGCTTCGAAGTCACCCAAGTTTTAGCTTATGATTAATCACCAAATCTCTAATTTAGCTCCTATACACCCTCCCAAATTAGGATCTAAATCATAACAAACTGAAATGGTGTTTCTTGATCGTCATAAATCCTTTACCATTACATCTTCAAACTATAAACCGAAAAAAGAAGAAGAAGAAGAAGAAGAAGAAGAAGAAGAAGAAGAAGAAAAAAGGAGCTTACTTGGGTCTGTAGTAGTGATCATTGCCACACCTTTGAAGTCACATGAACCAGAAGCTCTTCCTTCCTTCTGGTAATAATTATTGAAAGCAAACGAGGCATGTCCCTTCACATTATTCGGCTGATAACAACTCTCCCCAGGTTGAATCTCGCTACAATTAGCTCTCCCTGGTCCACAAGCCCAATCCAACGCAGCCTGAAGCGTCTTTGCGTCCACACTATCCATAGCAATGCAGTACGTCTGGTTTGTCGTATCGTTGGCAAGAAACGTTCCGCTTCCAGATACATGAAGCAGATACACCGGCGTAGAGTTCCCAGAGAACAATCCCCAGCTAGCTTCACTAACCGGAGGAGCCCTCTTATCCTCGTTAAACAGCTCATAAATGTAAACACTTGGGGTCATCTCCGGGTGCAAAGGAGTACCGGTTCTATCGAAAACATGCTTGATCAGATTCGAGTTATACGTATCAGCATTGTCGATAGTAGCATGTGGCTCTTTCGAATCACCTTTCCAAGGCCACCCGCTCTCGGTCACAAGAACAACCACATCAGACACGTTCAGGTTTTTCATCGAGACATAAGCAGCATCGACCATAGCGTCAAGCACGTTCGTGTAATGCAACAGAGTGTTTGGATCAACCATTTCTTTAGCCGGAGTCAAGGGCTCGAACAAGCAGTTATCAAGGGGAACCACGCCTTTGTTCTGCATATAGACATAGTAAGGATAGAGATTCATCATCAGAGGAGAGCCCGTTTTGGACAAGAACTGAAGCAACGGGACCATAACCGAATGCCAAGTCTGGTTAAAGTAAGCTTGTGAAGGCGGGAAGGTGTCGAGCATGATTGAAGCTGCGTGAGGCGTAGAGACCTTGATCTGAGTGTGGAGATTCGAAGCAACAAGAGCGTTGTATAGAGACTCAATTGCAGGCAACAGCAAAGGAGCAGAGGAAGGGACAGTGGTTAAGACCTCGTCTCCAACAGATATGGCTGTGATTAAGGTTTCAGGGTAATAAGCAACCACATTTCGACCAATCCACGACGCAGCGGTGCTGTTGGAGGATCCGATTGCGAGAAGCTGATTGTTTGGTACGCTGATTATGACACGTATCTTGGTTTTAGCCAATGCATTGAGCAAATCTGGATCAGCGTCGTATAAACGGACATGGTTTATTTTCTGGGTTTGCAGGAATTTGACCAGTTCCGCCGGAGTGAGCAAGTTGGAGACATCGGTGCCAATGTTGAACCCAACAAAGGGATCTTTGTCTTGTTCCTGAATCCTAATATCTTGTGATAAAGACGAAGAATTCGCTGTACAGGTTTTGACATAGAAGCAAGAAGCTAGTTAAAAATAGAAACTTGGCAAGGATTATTAACTTAAAACTAAGAATTTAGTAAGAGGGTTTGTCTAGTTTTTGGATTTAATACAAAAGTAGCAATTTCCTGATTTTGAAATTATATAATAATGCAAGCTTTGAATTTGGGGGAATTTGGACTAAATGTTGAACTGAAAAAAATGGTTTTTTTTCCCGTAAACTTACCAGAAATCAAAAGAAGATTGGAGATTACAAGGAAGAAGAAGGAGAAGAAGACAGGAATGGTGGAAACCATGCTAGTGAGAGCCATTGAAGAGGAGCTTGACCTTGAATTTATTCTGCAACTCTTCACCTTCCGATTCAGACTCAGCTACAGATCCTTGCATTATCTTCCTCCTCTTTCAACAGATTTCACAGGCTTTCTTGCTGTCTGGTTGAGATAACCTAAGAGAGTCGGAGAAGTCGAAGAAGAAGAGAGATTAGACATAATTTTTAGGGGTTTTAGGCTTGAAGATTTATGTCTCTTCCACGTGAATAAACTCTGCTCGCTCCTCCCCACACAACAACTGGTTGATTTTCAGACCGAGCTTAAAATTTACTACAATGCCCTTCAATACTCATAAAGCACCCAGCTAAGACATCACTAGATTTCGTTCGATGTATTGTTTGTATACAGAAATATTTATTTCAAAATAAAAATTTTCCAAAACTTTTGCAACATCTCGGATTTACCCAAATTAAAACATATTTTATTCTTGGTTATTTTTTGGTTTTAGTATTGGCTTGGAATGTTGGTGTTGACCGCATGTGACTAAAAAGTGGCCAGAAGAAAGTTACAATGTCCTTGAGTGGCATTCCACTATTACGTATGAGTTTATTGATTTCTATTTATTTGAGTTTATTATTCGGTTATTGAAAAATCCTCAAAAAAATATTGAAATACAAGTTGAGAAACAAAATAGAGAACAGAACCCCATATTTTTGTTTTCTTGAGTAGATAGAAGACTACATTTACTAGAAATGGCCCACTTTATTTATTTGTTGATAATAACACATTTCCTCATCTCAAACAATAAATGCTTTTAGAAAACTTACCAAGTAATAATTGTGTGCCAAATTGTAAGCAAGTAACATAATAAGGTTGGACATTAGCAAATAAAATAAAAATAAAAAGTAACTAAAGGTTAGCAAAATGTAACGTTCCACATATATCCTACATATATCCCAAATGTAAAGTTCTACATATATCTAGGGGGATATAGTGGTGCATACATCCGACCAAACTTTATTTGTTTGTACTGTTGTACAACATAGAGATCCATCTGCAAGACTGCAACTCTTGAATAATAGATAAAAGCATGCAAACAGAAAAAACTCAGAAAAAGAGGAAAGGTTTATAGGGAGCTTATAAATTTAAAATGACTTATATGAGATTCCCTCGTCTTGACTTTAAAAACTATATCTTAGGTCTAAATTATATATTTCATAACAAATATTCTTTGAATCATGGGACCACACAGGATTATATAGGAAACATATGCCCACTAGTCACTACCTGAAACAATGATTTCATCTTATTAATAAAGAGTTTGAAATAATGCGTCTTAATAATAAAAAATAAACAGATTTTCTTACGAAAGAAAATGGTAACAGATAATTGTTTGATAAATGGTAGACAGTGAAAATACTCTTGCTTGCTATAGACAGTAGTAACTGATAAAATTTTCACGGCTACAAGATGCTGAGTTAATTTTTTCCGGTACGCTACATGATGTTGAATGTAGTTGTAGTCGGTAAATAGTTAAATACCAAAAAAAGTAGTTACATATAACAAAATTATCAATCTAAATTAAACCAGGCCAACCTCAAACGATACGCAAGCTCGACTTGAAACATTGGTGCAGACGCTTTGAAAAACAAAATATACAGTTTCCAAAAAAACTTCAAAAATACACCCAAAAAAAATAGAAGACAAAAAACCGTGACACTTTTTTGTCTATTTCTCGCAATAATTAATTAGAAAGTTATTATATACTATTTCTTTCTTTTAAAAGAAAAGACAGAAAATACTTGTTATAAAATGATGACCTTTAAGCCAGAGAAAAAGCCCACCACCTTAAAGGCAATTGTAAAAAAAAATAAACAGTGCAGTTCTGGTAAATTACACAAGACTTCAAAGTTCTATTTGAAGACAATTTTTCTTTCTACTTTATATGCATGAAAAGTCTTTCTACTTATGTGTGTTGCCATTTTGCTGCCTTATTTCTTAAATTTGCATGTTCTGAATTATAATTATTCCCAAATTTTGTATGAAGCTACATGTTTATAACTGATTCATGTGGAAGTTTAAGTTCTACGAATTGATTGATGTTTGTTTATGATTCTTAGTTCAACTGAATCGAAAAGGCAACTCCTCGGAGCCAAACTTTGATACACTCAGCAATAATTATCCAACTTTGTTCTCTCTAGGCTGAGACGATGCAATCACTAATGCTGTTTCATGATTCAAAATGCTAATGATATGAAGTATAAAAAATTGAGAGATCCTACGATAATCCACATTAAATTCATACAAGTTTAATAGCTCCTACTGTTCACACATCAAAGATAATATTGTTGTTTTATGTATATATGGTGGATTAACGTTGATCATAAATATGAATTGTGAGATGACTTTAATATAAATAACAAAAGTAGATAAAAAGTTTCGAAATCTACATCTAATGATGTATCATGTATGTTGCACATGTTGTTGACAACATTTACAACATAATTCTAAAATCAATTAGAAGTTGGCAACACAACTCATCCTATTGTTAGCCGATTGCTACGTTCTTGAGAGACTTGCAACGTTTGGCAAAATTAATGATGAAATAATTGAAATTATATACTTATTAAAAACGAAAAAGTAATACTAGACAGACAGTAATACAAATTATTTAGAGAATAATTATGATTTAATGTTGATGTAAATGGAAAATTTTGCTAACTTATAAAAAAATAAGACCAAATTTGATGAACGTAGAGCACGAAACAAAATTTGGAAGGATATCTCGATGATTTATAAATTTCCCTTTTTTAATGGTAAAGAACAAAATTTGATTGATCTTGCGGTGAAATGTCTGATTATACCCTTCGTTGCCGACCAAAAAAAAAAGAAGGTTTCCATACGACCACGTGTATCATATGGCTGTGAGATTGATACCTTTAATCTCACCATCGCTCCAAAATAATTAATCTATCGGCTGTAATGCGTCTGTGATGGTCACACTATATCACAGGCAGTAACAGAGAATTTGTCGGTCAGTAAGAAACTGGAGTATTTTTAAGTGACGAGACGACCATTGCTTTCTACCGGAAAAATTATCTGCTCGTTTCGTACATCTTCTCCCAGGTTAGTTACTGTTGCAGATCATCTCTAATTTTAACATTTCGATGATTGCAATCTCGTTGATCTCTTTCGAAATCGTGTGGTTTTCTTATTCTTTTTTTTTTCTACGATTCAATTGAGGAATTTCGTTATTGTAATCCGATGTTTTCCGGATCCGAATTTGTTTTTTTTTCCCAGAAGCTGTGTGATTGTGGATCATCGTTCGATTAATCGTATGGGATTCATGGATTAGAAATCTTCCCTTGTTGATCTTTGTGTAACGATGATCATTTTTTGCTTGTGCTCTCATTGATCGTTTTCGCGATTGGTGCTTTAGTTGATTAGGAGAGTGTAAAACCGATGCTTGCCTCATTTTCAATTAACGTGTAGGCATTTCGTAATAATTATCTTGGTGGATTCATGATTTTGGTAGTCATTTTCAGGATGGAGCAAGTTTATGAATGAGATTACTTGTCGATGATGAAGATCTTTTACTGTTTTATGTCGATTTTCAAATTAGAGTTTCTTGCACTGATGCTTTCTTTGATGAAAATGGAAGCAGTTGAATCAGGATTGAATAGAAAAATGGCTGAAGCTTCTGCTGTTGCTCCAAATGCTGAGTTGTTGGATTGGCCAAAGAAGGATAACCGTCGTTTTCTCCATGTTGTCTACCGTGTTGGTGATCTTGATCGCACAATCGAGTATGTCTCTCTTTTCTGTTTCAGTATTGTAATATTCTTTCTTCATTTTATAAAACAGTGCATAGTTGTTTATCTCTAAGAGATATTCTCCATTTTTCTCACTAGGTTTTACACTGAGTGCTTTGGTATGAAGCTGTTGAGGAAAAGAGATGTCCCTGAGGAGAAGTATTCTAATGCTTTTCTGGGTTTTGGACCTGAAACTTCCAACTTCGTTGTGGAGCTGACATATAGTATGCCCTTTTTACTCTCTGTCTTCTCTTAGCATTGGTTCCTATGTTTTATGTGTCAACATTTTTTTGCATGTTTACAGACTATGGTGTTAGCTCATATGATATTGGAACTGGATTTGGGCATTTTGCCATTTCAACTCAAGATGTAAGGACGTCCTAATTTGAATATGGATTTCAAGAATCAATATATGCATATAAGGCACTGAACAGAGAGTTTTGTTTTAGGTTTCCAAAATGGTTGAGACCGTCCGTGCCAAGGGTGGAAATGTCACCAGAGAACCTGGTCCTGTCAAAGGTGGAAACAGTGTCATCGCGTTCGTGAAGGACCCTGATGGTTACGCTTTTGAGCTTATCCAGAGAGGTCCAACTCCTGAACCACTCTGTCAAGTTATGCTTCGTACTGGTGATCTTGACCGCGCCATCAAATTCTATGAAAAGGTAACTCAATGCTGTGAAAAGGCTGTCTTTGTGTTTAATATTCATCTGTAGTGTTTCTGGGTAAGGCAATTAACATTGCTGTTTTCTTCAAAGCTTCTTAATTTACCTAACGTTTGATTCCCTGCAGGCCCTTGGGATGAGACTCTTGAGAAGGATTGAGAGACCTGAATACAAGGTGAAGTAATTAGTGATACAACGTAGACAAGTAATCTACTTTTTGAGCTACGTTGTGAATTACGGAGCTTTTTTTTTTCGTTTCTGGGATGGAACAGTACACCATAGGCATGATGGGATATGCTGAGGAATACGAGACAATAGTTTTAGAGCTGACCTATAACTACGGCGTGACTGAGTACACTAAGGGCAATGCATATGCACAGGTCCGGGCTTAGTCATGTATTCGGTTATCTTTAAACCGGTTTTGTGATCATTCTTTTGATGATTAAATGGTTGAATGTAATGAACAGATTGCAATAGGCACCGATGATGTGTACAAAAGCGGTGAAGTTGTGAAGATAGTCAACCAAGAGCTAGGAGGAAAGATCACTAGAGAAGCTGGACCTCTTCCTGGACTTGGCACCAAGATTGTCTCATTCCTTGATCCAGATGGCTGGAAAACGGTTAGTAGCTTATAAAATACTTCTTGCAGATTTTCTTGCATCTTAGAAAGAGATGAATCTGGTCTGCTACAATTATACAGAAACCAATTTAGCTATCTGGTATCAGAAGATTCCAATCATAGCGTTGTTATTTAGATTCAGGTGTCGGGTTTTGATTAAAAGGTTTGGTTGTTAAAAATGACAGGTTCTGGTCGACAACAAAGATTTTCTGAAGGAACTGGAATGAGGAGAGCGATGATGATGGTCGAGATCACAACGTTAAGAATAAAACCATAATAATGTGATCATCAGGACTGTCTATGTAATGGATTGAGAAACATTGGCCTAGGGCCAAATTTAAATAAAATAAATACTCTTAAAAGCTTATTTTTGAAGTTTGAAAGAGAGATTTTTTAATAATTCTTATAAAGTTTTCAGCTTTATTTTCATATATAAAAATATTAATACAAACAATTAAGTTAAGATATTAATATTGCAAACTCGCAAATTTTCCATAAATCGTGTGCTGAATTTTTAGTTGAAAAATAAAATCAGTGAACTATAAGCTCCAGTTAACCGTGGGTCGTGTAATTACAAGTAACGTAATTGGAACTTGGAAGTCATAGTTCTATTGGACAAAGAAACCAGCATTAGATAATAGTTTTCGTAGCTAGTACTCTCTAAACCTAGCGTCATCTTTAAACTCAGATCCTATAAAACCGAAAAAAAATCGTTCCTCTCCAATTGAGCTAACAAACTAACCGAAATATTAGTCTTAATTACTAGTTTGGAGAAAATAAGAGTGTGTATACGATAACATGTCTTTGATTAGTATTTAATCTAACTACTACATCTTCAATCTATGCAGTCACATGAAACTCAGCAACTACCGCTAAAAGGTAAATCAAATTAGTTGGCTGGATCCACCTACTCACTAGTCACTACCGTTATCATTCGAAAACCATTTACGAATTTATGGAATATAAATTCCATTTCGAGCCCTACCCACTGGCGAGACCGGTTCTTCTTAGGTCTCAAGGATCATGTGTATTTCTTTGGCCTCCCATTTAATTTATCAATAGAAATGCGGTGAAGTTGTTGGTCCTTTTATGTTCTTCTTATTTACCTAACCATCACGGCATCTCTATTCAATAACGTTGGTAGAAATATATATACCTTATATATGGACTTGTAACACAACTCACCATAAACAAAAGGATCTCTACCAACAAAGTAAAACATGAAAGCCACTTTCACTAACTTGCTTGTGCTTCTCTTCATTGCACTTGTTTGTGCAAATGTCGGTGCTAGGAAACTTATTTCCGGAGATACTCAATTCAAGGATGAAAAATCCTTCCTTGGCGGCGGTGGAACCGGTGGTGGTCTAGGGCTTGGCCTTGGCGGAGGAGCTGGTCTGGGTGGGCTTGGGATTGGGGCTGGGATTAATGCTGGAGCTGGACTAGGGCTAGGTAAAGGCGGTGGGGTTGGCGGTGGACTTGGTGGCGGCAGCGGTGGAATCCTCGGTGGAGGCGGTGGCGGATTTGGTGGTGGTGGTGGTCTTCCTTGACGGATAGTCAAGTGCTTGTGTGTGTGTGTGAGCTCATTCGCATCTTAAAGTCATTTTCATTGTCATAATAAAATTAGAGATTAAATTAATGGAATCTGTAATAAAAGATTTCAGACGCCAAAAAAAGAATTAAGAGAATCACATTTACAGATTTTATTTAAACTATTATGTTTTTATTAATTATGTATTCAAAATATTATGTTTTGATTAATTACTGCAACCTGATCTCATCTATTTTCGTCTTTTTTTTTTCTTATTTACTAAGAAGTCGAGAAAGTCCCAAAATTTCATCGAGAAATAAAACATGTCACACTCACTACAACAATGAAAGCATTTAACTGACAAAGGGTTAGACTATTGGCCAAATAAGAGTTGAAAGAACCAAATCAACAATCAAAATTTCATATCCTCCCAAAACTCAAAATTATCAAGTTGTTGATAAATTAGTTATGTTCTATCACATTCCTAGATGTGAGACTCCTACCAGAAGTAATCTAAGCAAATAATATGTGTGAGCATTACTACATGCTCGGAATGCTGATCATCACATGATTCCTGGTTGTAGTATACAAGATCTTGATGAGCACATATAATGAAAAGTCACATATAACCAAACAACAAAAAGTATACATCAGCTTCATTGTATCATATTTCCATAGTAGTTGATTCTTGTTTTTTCTTTCATAGTTGTTTTAGATGAAGTTAGTTAAAATCCCTCTTATGAAAACGAAAATATAATCAAATCATTATTATTATTTTTTTTTTTTGAAAAAAAGATACGTGTTATTTTGAATCCATATATATAGAACTTAGAATTAAAGAACATCCTTATTCATATGTTCCAAAGATTAGGTGGTACCATGACTCATATTCATAGAAGTAAGGTGCTGAATTCTTTTTGGTATAGTAATGGATAAAATGCTAACATAAAGAATGTCTATGACTCCAAAAAGTTCCAACAAGAAATGTGTATTAAAAAATAGTATAAAGATCAAACATCTTTTTTATTTTATTTTTGTGATTGACAATTGGTATATGCCTTTTAGTTTTATTTTACAAATTAAAAAGAAGAAGATAAAGAGAGAACAATACTTACCACTCAATGGGGATGTGGTTGCTTTGGCCTTTTCTTCGTTTGGCTGATGATTCCTCCTCTACCACCAACCCCATCTTTTTCTTGCCATTTTTATATCCCAAATCTCTCATTTAATTAACTTTACAACATTTTTATCCCTAGAAATATATATAGTACCTTGTACCACTGATACCGATATTTATTCATTTATTAACGAATCATCAGTTAATTGCAAATAAACACACTACAAAGTAGTATCAGGAATCTGGAAGAAGCTCCAGAGGCAAAAAGACTCAATCTTTGTAAGATATCTACGAGACCCATTTCAGTTTTTCTTCTCTCGGTTTATGTTCGTATTCACAGAATCGCGGATTATTTTGATTGAAAACAACATTTGTTGATGTCTTCTTTTTCCCTTACTTCTTTGTGAAAATTGGAAGTTCGATCTCGTTGCGGTTATTGAGTTCCCAGATTGTTTCAGATGTTTTAGTATTAATCCGTATCTTATAGTTAAAGATTTATGGATTTAAAAATACTTTGTATTTCTTTTTATACGAATCTCCTTCATCATTCATAGCTCAAGAGTGTTTATCATTTTTGGACTGGTTTCGATCAATTTATCAATGTCAATCCACTGAATCTTACTTTCAATGAAAAATGCTGAATCCAAAGATGCATATATGGTTTCTGAATCTGATTTGGATCAAACTGTTATATAGCTTGAGAAGAAGATGAGAGGTGGGAGTCTATGGCAGCTTGGGCAATCCATAACCCGTCGTCTTGCTCAATCTGACAAGAAAGCTGTGTCACGCCGCTACTTCGCATCTGATGCTGACCTGAAAAAAACCGCTCTTTACGACTTCCATGTCGCACACGGCGGAAAGATGGTTCCTTTTGCTGGTTGGAGTATGCCAATTCAGTACAAAGATTCGATCATGGACTCAACGGTTAACTGCAGGGTCAATGGGAGTTTGTTTGATGTTGCACATATGTGTGGTTTGAGCCTCAAGGGCAAAGACTGTGTTCCTTTTCTCGAGACTCTCGTTGTTGCTGATGTGGCTGGTTTGGCTCCTGGAACCGGGAGCTTGACCGTGTTCACAAACGAGAAAGGAGGTGCCATTGATGACTCGGTGATTACCAAAGTGACAGATGAACATATCTATTTGGTGGTGAATGCTGGTTGTAGGGACAAGGATTTGGCTCACATTGAAGAACACATGAAGGCTTTCAAATCCAAAGGAGGTGATGTCTCGTGGCATATCCATGACGAGAGATCTCTTCTCGCCCTTCAGGTTTGGCTACAAATTTAAACCAAAGAGTGTTCCTTTTTGTTGTTTCTGTTATTGCTGTATACTTGTAGTTTATAGTACCTTGCGATGTAGGGTCCTTTGGCTGCTCCAGTGCTTCAACACCTGACCAAAGAAGACTTGAGCAAGCTTTACTTTGGGCAATTCCAGATTCTGGACATTAATGGTTCCACATGCTTCCTTACCAGGACCGGGTAAAATTTCATCTTTCACTATCCGCTTCGAGTTAGAACGCTATGTTATCTTGTTGTTTCTGCATCTCGAAAGTTTCTCTTGTTCAAGTAGAAATAGCTTCAGAGGAATAATTCTAAAGATCACACAGTTTATGAATCTCTCTGTTTTGTTTTTCAGGTATACCGGGGAAGATGGGTTTGAGATCTCAGTCCCATCGGAGCACGCAGTGGATTTGGCGAAAGCAATCTTGGAGAAATCCGAGGGAAAGGTAAGGCTTACGGGTCTAGGAGCAAGAGACAGTCTCAGGTTAGAAGCAGGGCTTTGTCTATATGGCAATGACATGGAGCAACACATTTCTCCTGTTGAAGCTGGGCTCACATGGGCCATAGGAAAACGTAGAAGAGCCGAAGGCGGGTTTCTTGGCGCGGATGTGATCCTCAAACAGCTTCAAGATGGACCAACGATCAGAAGGGTCGGGTTTTTCTCTTCGGGACCACCAGCAAGGTCGCATAGCGAGGTCCATGATGAGAGTGGTAACAAGATTGGAGAGATCACGAGTGGTGGGTTTAGCCCGAACCTGAAGAAGAACATAGCCATGGGGTACGTAAAGTCGGGTCAGCACAAGAATGGGACCAAAGTCAAGATCTTGGTCCGTGGGAAACCTTACGAAGGCAACATCACCAAGATGCCGTTCGTGGCCACCAAATACTACAAGCCATCATGATATGTGTGTTTTACTTCGTCTATGACCTGTCTCCTGCTTTTGTTAAAATGACTTCTGTTTTCATTTATTCTGATTTGGCCTGAAGATGTACGTTCTTTTGCCAAGAGGGCATTGCTTTTTTCAATGTTATTGAAATAAATTTTAACATATCTATAAGACCAAACTATGAACTTGAGTATTTCACATAATTGAACATCTACAAGTTCTTTGGTTAAGCAAGCTAGGAACATGATCGTGTAAAGAAAGAAACTTGTTTTAGGATGAACATTTTCACAGAATTTGGGGTCTAGATGTCGAGAAGAAGCCTACGTGGATCCTCAACTACGTCTTTGATGCGACGAAGGAAAAGAACGGCCTCTCTTCCATCTATCAGACGGTGGTCATAAGTCAGTGCGATGTACATCATTGGCCTTGATACTACTTCTCCTCCCACAACCATCGGGCGGTTCACTATCGAGTGCATCCCGAGAATAGCAGACTGTAAACGAGAAGGTAGAAATCAGTAGATTGAATCAAATATCACTGAACCAGAGGTAAGAAAATGCTGAGAGTGACTGAATCAAAAGTGGGAGAAAATTCAAACCTGAGGAGGGTTTATGATTGGAGTACTCAAAAGACTTCCATAAACACCACCATTAGAGATAGTGAATGTGCCTCCAGCCATTTCATCGATCGAGATTGTTCCAGCTGTTGCTTTCTTAGCAAGTTTATTGATCTCTTTCTCAATCTCAGCAAAGTTCATCTGCTCTACGTTTCGAAGCACTGGAACAACTAGTCCCTATATAGAATATATATGAGCCCATTGGAATAAGTTCAGATTCAGCAGAAAGTTACACAGGTGAGATGAAAATGGTACCTTTGGTGTACCAACAGCAATGCTGATGTCGACGTAATCTCTGTAGATAATGTCTTCTCCATCAATAACAGCATTCACGACTGGTTGGTTTTGGAGTGCGCTGATGGCACCCTAGAAGAAAAAAAAAAAGAGGTTTCATTCTCTGGAAGATATATACACAATAATGTGATGATGGGGGAATAGTAAAGGTTATACCTTTATGAAACCTGACATCAATCCTAGTTTGACACCATGCTTTTCAAGAAACGCATCTTTGTACTCTGAACGTAATTTCATCAGATTTGTCCTGATTCCGGAAAGTTAAAAATAGAGAGGTAAAAAGTAAGACACATGGGCGTTTCTTATCTACATTTTATAACATAAATCAGAAGCAGCTTTTCTTATACTCAATGAACTGTCGAAAACTTACATGTCTACTTCATTGAACGTAGTCAGTAGCGCAAAGGTGTTTTGAGAGTCCTTCAGTCGTGTAGCAACACGTTTCCTGAGTCTTGTCATAGGAACCTGCTTGTATAAACTCAGAAACTAAACATATCGCAAGAAGCAAGATTTTCTAAATCAAGCATGCCAAACTCTTAATTAGTTCTAGTATGTACCCTTCTTTCCCGGTCCTTTGGAGGAAGTTGGGGCTCTCTTGGTGACGGTCCTGAAGCAGGTGGAGTAGGAGCTCTAGACTTCTCTTTTGGAGGTGAAGTTTCCACTTTTGGTGAAGGAGGAGCTTCTGCAACAGGTTTTGGCTTCTCTTCTTTTTTATCTGATTTAGTCTCCTCTGGCATCTTCTCTGATACTTTAGCCTGAGTTGCAGCTCCACTAGACTGAGAAATCACTGCTATCTTGAAACCAGGCTCCACTGTATCACCTTCTTTTGCAACGAGCTGCAGAAAACAATGAAAGTTAACATATTGGCAAAAAAAAAAAAAAAAAACCGAATTTTCTTTCAAGCTGAGACTCTACCTTCTCAATAGTTCCGGCAACAGGACTAGCAACATCGATTGTAACCTGTTTAACACATCAGTGGTATTAGTGGAATTGATGAAGCTTCAAGAATAGTAGCGAGAAAAAGAAAGAACCAACCAATAAATACCTTATCAGTTTCTATCTGAGCAATGGGCTCATCAGCTTCCACACGGTCTCCCGGTTCTGATCCCAATATACAGAGGTTTCACATGTATAATGTTTTTAAGTTCTAATCTCTGCAGCCAATGAAAAATCCTAGATATGCAAACGTCATCAAATTTCTACTTACTCTTCAAGAAAGTGGCTAAAGTGCCATCAGAAATAGATTCTCCCATGAATGGAACAAGAGCATCCACAGACCCACCTTTTGCATCATCAAAATGAACTTTATCACTCAATATGCCAACCCCCAACATTGACACTATTATGGATTGCGTTTAAAATCACGAGTATATCATACCGTTATCGGACGAAAACAGCCTAATACTAGCGTTGAATGTTTGGATGCATGGCACACTTACCCTGCTTACAGACAATCAAAGCAAAATCACTTCCTTTCAAGTTTTTTTCTTCAAAATCGAAAATATGATGACTTGGAACGCTACACTTAGTATTTCTGGGTTAAGTAAAAATTAACAACATAACAACCCACCTCATAGCCTTTGAGCTCAAATGGGAACCTACAAATCAGAGAAACACAAAAGAGAGATGAAAGAAGTAAAATGACCATACTTTCTCAAATGTTGACCGTCCCCAGGAGTACCTAGATAAGAACGAAAACCGCCGAGGGAATTCACCATTTGTGATCCTCTTGCGACAAGTGAAGTCTGTTGAAGAAAATAGCAGAGGAAAAAAAAGAAGATCAAACGAAATCCATTGAAATATCGTAACATCACACGATGAACAAGCAACAATCCAAAATCTACCTCTTTTGCAAAAGCTCCATAGTACCGAGGATGAGATGCTGTAGCACGCGTGCTCTTCCACGACTGTTCTAGAATCTGAACAACGTACGGATCATTTCACACTTCCACAGCTTAGAATACCAAATTCGTCGAAATGAATGAAGAAAGCTGATATTTTGGATGAGGATATGAAACTTCTAGAAACTCACCGAAGAGGCAGACGAGTTACCGCCATTAACGACCTTTCTCCGAACGATAGACCAAATAACCATTCCTTTTTTCAGCTCAAAACCGTGGAGCAAAACCACAAGTATTCACCTTTTTCTATATTCCTGGATTCGATTTCGGTTCTTCTGTGAATTCTATGTATTGTGTGTCACAAGGAAAAAGCCAAAACACAGTGAAAGGAAATGAAAAGAAAAGAAACTTCTTCCTTCTTAATTTTCCAAGCTTAACAATAACCATAAACACGTAATTATCAAAGAGGAACACCTTGTTTAGTCAGTCATCTTTGACGGCCACGTCAAAAATTAAAACGTAGCTTAAACCATCAAAACGATGTCGTTTCAATTGATACAGTGAGGAAATATCAACACGCCGTGCCGTCGCCGTCAAAAGGTAAAACTTGTTTCTCGCAGATCGAAACGACAACGTTTTAATAATAATCCGCAAGAGTATTTTTTTGGGAACGCTTTAAAAACTAAAACTTTATCAGTCGTCGTGTCTTCTGTTTATCAGCAGAGAAGCTCCGGCGATGGGTTTACACACACTAAGACTCGCTACGGCTCCTATGACCTTCTCTACATTTTCTTCTCGCCTCTTCCTCAAGCCATTTCCCAATACTCTCCTAAGTTTGTTTCCCCGCCATGTTCAACCGCGTAAGCCTTTCCTTGTCAGAGCCTTCTCCGCTTCCTCCGCCGTACAAGATATTCCGGCCACGCAGGCCTCTGATTCCTCTGGTATTCCTTTTTTCGTTCTCTTTCCTTGTTGAATCGTCATTGACGTGCGTGTATCTGATTCGTTTGGGTTGCGAGTTTCAGCTGCGAGGCCGCAGTGGAAGGCGGCCATTGATTTCAAGTGGATAAGGGATAATAAGGAAGCAATCGAAATCAATATCAAGAACAGAAATTCGAATGCTAATTTGGAAGCTGTGCTTGAGCTATATGAGAACATGATCAATCTCCAGAAGGTTATCTAATCCTCTACTCAACCCTACTCGTGGGAACTCTTTATCCCTCTTTATACCAATTAGCTCAATTCGAATTTGGGATTCTTTGTACTGGAAACATGTAAAGTCAGCTACTTTGAGGCAAAAGCTCGTTGTTGCTAGAATTTTGCCTGTTCTATTGACTGAACTCCAAAGTAACATGTTAAAGTTGGAAAAGATTGTTGTTTTGTTAGTTTCTGGATAGTTACTCATGCAGAATTGAGAGATTGAACTATATCCGTTTTTTTTTTCTTCTTCTCTCGGTTCAGCTAATCAACGATTGCAGATAGCAGGAAGTTGAAGGGCTTCGTGAGGAAAGAAACAACGTTGCGAAGAAGATGAAAGGGAAGCTCGAACCATCAGAACGTCAAAAACTCGTAGAAGAAGGTAAGCGTGGGTTTCCGTTTGTTTATCAGTCCGTGTTACCTATTATTATTATTAAAGATAATAGAGCGTTTTGCCTTCAGGTAAAAATCTTAAGGAAAGTCTTGTAACTCTGGAAGAAGACCTCGTGAAGCTTAGAGATGAGCTCCAACTTGTAGCACAGTCTATACCAAATATGACACACCCTGATGTTCCTGTTGGAGGAGAGGATTCATCGGCAATAAGAAAAGAGGTACTTACTTTGTTCCCGGAACTGCTTGCGTTGGCTATGCCATTTTTCTGCATAATTGTGAAAGGCTTTTCTACAAAAAATGTTCATTGCTTTCTTTGTAGTTTGGTAGTCCACGTGAGTTTCATTTTCCAATCAAGGATCATCTCCAGCTTGGGAAGGATCTAGATCTCATTGATTTTGACTCTGCTGCAGAGGTATACACTTTTTGTTTTTAAGGTATCATGTTTTTAGGTTGTCGGATTAGCGTTTTGGCGATGGGCTACTATCTCATCAGTATCCATATGTCTAAACTCTTTTCCATTAAATTGTTGAAATGTGAGCAGCTGATTTTTCCATATGTGCCAAGGTGTTTAGGTTTAAGCTTGACTTGAACATTGTGAGTTCGAACTAGTAGAGTGCACTTGAGTTGGTGAAAAATCATGTCATTGTATGAAGCATCAAACTGATGACCAAATTTTCAGTTTTTCTGTTTATTTAATTAAAAAGATGAGGTGAAGTAGTTTCCTTCTTGCTTTTACAATCTTCCAGGTAAGTGGTTCAAAGTTTTTCTATCTGAAGAACGAGGCAGTATTATTGGAGATGGCCCTCCTTAATTGGACATTATCAGAAGTTATGAAGAAGGGTTTTACGCCCCTAACGACCCCTGAAATTGTGAGATCTTCTATTGTTGAGAAATGCGGTTTCCAACCTCGTGGAGATAATACTCAGGTTTTTCCAATACTTGTGTGTTTGCTCTTATTGATACGTCAACGTTTTTGTTTGTTGCCAATCTTGTTTCTATTTTCCTGGATAGGTTTATTCTATAGATGGAACTGACCAATGTCTCATTGGTACCGCTGAAATTCCCATAGGAGGAATCCACATGGATTCTATTCTTCTTGAATCAGCATTACCTTTGAAATACATAGCATTCTCTCATTGCTTCCGTACTGAAGCTGGTGCAGCTGGCGCCGCTACTAAGTAAGTTAGAAGAGAGAGTTTAGTCCTTGTATTGTCTGCATGTTCTTGGCTTCTTCAATAGACTCATTGGTCGAACTAAAAATCCAAACTTTTTTATTTCGAGCAGAGGTCTTTACCGAGTTCATCAGTTCAGCAAAGCAGAAATGTTTGTCCTATGCCGACCTGAAGATAGTGAAACATTCCACGACGAACTCATTCAGATCGAAGAAGATCTGTTCACTTCTCTAGGATTACACTTCAAGTAAGACACCAGAGTTTTCTCACCAGAGCTTTTGTCTTCCAGAAATGTAACTTTGGCTTTGCAGAACATTGGATATGGCCACAGCAGATTTAGGCGCTCCAGCTTACCGCAAGTTTGACATTGAAGCATGGATGCCCGGTTTAGGTCGATTTGGCGAGGTAAACAAAACAAACTCTTATTTTATTTGTGTCGGACAATAGAACCGAGTTTTAGTTTCTTCTTTGAGCTTGCTGTTGTAACTTTCTGAGCTAGATATCGAGCGCATCGAACTGCACTGATTACCAAAGCCGAAGACTTGGAATTCGTTACCGCCCATCTGAACCGCTTCAGGCGGATTCTAAGAAAGGCAAGATGAATCTTCCGGCTCCTAAGTTTGTGCACACTTTAAACGCAACGGCGTGTGCTGTCCCGAGGATGATGGTGTGTTTGCTGGAGAATTACCAGCAAGAAGATGGATCCGTGGTGATCCCTGAGCCCCTTAGGCCTTTCATGGGAGGCATTGAACTCATTAAACCCAAGCTTAGATAGTTTTGATGGGTAAGGCAACTCTTGTTGTAATGCATACTTTTATTTAGTATTATACAGCTCACATGCGCTGAGTTTTGTTGTGTTCTTTTTTTCTTCCCAACAACAATGGAAAGGCAAATGTTATTTTCTTCCCAACAACAATGGAAAGGCAAATATTATTGTTCAATTGGTTTGGTTGATATGTTGGATACTAAACGTATTGTGTAATAGTAAATTTATAAGGGAGGATTGCTATTGTGACCTTTAAAATAGCTGAAATTAGTATAACAATCTTACATTCTCGAAATTAGCAGAATAACCTTCCTTTTTAAAAAAACCCGATTTTATCCTTAGGAAGCTTTGGTGAGAAAAAACGTATTTACAAAAATGCCATTATTAAATTATTTCCACGTCAGCCGTTAAATTGGACTACCGAGAAATAAATCTATCAATATGAATGGTAGACTTATATGTTTTGGTAGATTTATAAAAATGTCGATAGACTTAATAAAAGTTGGTAGACTTAATATTCCGAAAAATAGATTTGTTTAGATGTTGATAGACTTATAGTGATAGATTTAGTTTTCTAGAAAGGTAGATTTAAAATTCTTGATAGATTTTTGAATGTGTTGGTAGACTTGTTTTGTTGTATAGTAGATTTATTTTCAAGTTGGTAGATATATTGTTGTTGAGTTGACTTCATAAGATGTGGTTGACCAAAATCGGTAGACTTATTAACTTTCATAGTAGACTTAGTAGACAAGAAAATAGACTTATTTCTAAGAAAAATAAATCTACTACAAAATAAAAAGTTTTTTCGTGATAGATTTGTTGTACGCATGGTAGATGTAAATATCGATGGTAGATTTGTTTTGAAAACGTAGACTTATTTTCTTTGTGGTAGACTTATTTTCTAGGTGGTAGACTTGTTGTCTTAATGGTAGACTTAAAATTCCCTTAGCGAGTATTGATATGTGATAGACATACGAAACTATGTAATAGATATATTTGGGGATGGTAGACTTATATGTGGAAAATAGATTTATTTGATAATATAGTAGACTTTTAAATCAGTAGCGAGGTTCGATGTTGGTAGACATAATGAAATGTTGATAGACATATTACAAAATTGGTAGACATATTTAATCTCATAAAGGTAGACTTATTGATTTGAAATGACGTTTTTATCCAGCAGTTATTAATGAATTTTCGGGTTCCAACCACCGCAACCAACTACTTCTAGGGTAGCCGCCGCCATTATGTTCGTCGCTGATTGTCTCTCTTTACCTGTTTTTGGGTTTCTTTCCTGTATTTGTCATCCTCTATCATGTCTTCTTCTTGCATGGTGGATATATTTTTAGTTTGTGGGAAATGAGAATTTCAGAATAGTCGGTATGTTTTCTTGGTTGATAAGAGCAAAGGAAGTCGAGTTGTAGCTGTTGATCGGGAAATCGGGTTTGGGGATTTATTACAAATTGTTTATGAAGAATTTCGATTGGATCAGCGCCGATCTGACCTGCAATTCAGCTATATGCTGTCGAAGAAATACATGCAAAAGCTACCCAAAGATACACCACCGGTATTTGTAGGAAATACTCGACAATTTGCTGGGTTTCTCCGTCACTTTGAAAACGAGACGATCTGTCTATGCATTAAGATTACTGAAAAGGCGTTGACTCAATCTAAGATAGCAAATGGTGTTGAGGTGAGCGGCAAAAGATGTAAATCATTCGTAGATGAAGAGAATGAAGACGATGAATTTGAAGAAGATGAGGAAGATAATGACGATGATGAAGAAGAAAGGTACGACAATTGCGAAGATCCGGATGTAAATGCGAACACATAAGGCTACCCACAAATAAATAAGTCTATCAACCTGATGACTTATACATACAAAATAAAACAACTCTACCAAATATATTTATAAATTGTCTACCAAACATAAATTCGTTTTGCTACAGAGTTGCAAAATCCATGTCTTTTGTAAACCCCATGATTTTAGTTTCGAAAGCAAACATAGTCATTTCCCCCTTGTCCAATCCAAGTTACTTTCCTCAGTTCCTTGGATTAGAAAAGAGCCTTGCGGATTACCGGATCTTTGTCACCGGAACCGTTTTTGGTTTTAGGAGGAGGTTTTGGTTTTGCAGGTGCTTTCGCTGTTGGGGTTGCGTCTTTGATTGTGGATCCTACGGAATCTGCTTTCTCCTCGGCCCTTACTCCCTCCGCCTGCGGCACCTTCTTAGCCTCCTCGAGCTTAGTCATCCTAGCTTCCAATCCACTCATTCGGGCTGTAACATTGGTGTCCATTTTTCCCACTTGAGATGCCAAAGCTAGAAGAATTTGTTTCATCTCCACATCACTGTCCTCGACAATAACCAGCTTCTTCTCATTCATTTCTTCTTATTATTCAGCTCTCTCTCT